GTGCACACTGTATATACGCACTTATATACACACTGTAGCCATAGACAGATTTACACACTGTAGCCATAGATTTACACACTGTAGCCATAGGTGACCCCTTAGATCTACTGGAGCAGCCCCTGGATGAGCCAGCTCTACAGTGGTGAGCTGCCTACAAAGTAAAAGCTTTACATCACAAATAACTCTCTCAGCAAAGACTGTGGATCTGGCCCAGGGGATCCACATTGCGAGAGAATCTATGGGGGACCGGTGGCGACCTTAAACGCACAATCCTATTTGTGACCCAGACGGGACTCAATGTGTAGCATCACTGATGTCGAACGCAGAAGAAGAACATCACAAATCTACTGCCTGATGATATCGGTAGTGCATTTTTTATTTTGTATGTCTTGTTTATCTGCGTATCTTGTTCCTCTGTGTGTCTTGTTCATCTGTGTGTCTTGTTAATCTGTGTGTCTTGTTCATTTGTGTGTCTTGTTCTTTTGTGTGTGTCTTGTTCATTTGTGTGTGTCTTGTTCATTTGTGTGTGTCTTGTTTATCTGTGTGTCTTGTTTATCTGTGTCTTGTTCGCATGTGTGTCTTGATCATCTGTGTGTTCTGTTTTTCTGAGTATCTTGTTTATCTGTGTGTCTTGTTCAAGTATGCACGTGTTCATCAGTGCATTTATTCATCGATGTGTTATGTTCGTCTATACAGTATTAATCGGTGTGTTATGTTTGTATTTGCATTCATCGGTGTGTTATGTTTGTAGACGTGTGACGACGAATACCTTGTTTCAGTTTGATTTGCAAATGCGATGAAAACTGGCCACTGTGTATAGAAAGGTCAACTCAGTAGATCCACCCAGCTGTTGTGGCTCAGCACATTAGGCTTAACAGCGTGAGTACGGGCGATTGTGGGTGATGACCGGTTGCTTGGCTGATATAATGGCGATGGTATGCTTCCATAGTTAAATCTGGTTTTTTTTTCTCTAGTAGTTTAACTGTTTGGGTAGATATATCAGTGTGTTACCTCGCTCGGAGATAGTTTGACTGCAGGTTACTATAAGCGATTTACTGATCTGGTGGCATATTGAAGCTTAACAGACATGTTAATATGTTTCGGTTTTTGCCATTGTTGGTGTAATTTTCTGAGCGTATGAGTTCATTATCATATTTCCTTGTTAGCTGGTGATGATTAGCATTTTAGATTCTGGTCTAGCACGTTGGTTGTTGTTAATGTACTATATGTGAAGTATACGTTAATTTTGTGTTCAGTTAAATAAAGGTTTTTTTAATATGTTGATGATAGTTCCTGTTGTTATAATTCAGATTAGAACTTGTGGTTAGTATGCCTGGTTTATTGTGACTGCTGTCTAGCCTGTATACAAAAGACCTAATGTCATTGAGCAGGGTCAGTAGTTAGATGGGTACCAACGGCGTCAAGCAACATCGAGTGTGATCAGTAGTAGTTAGATGAGTGACAAGCGGGAAAATATGGCATCAAGCAACATCGAGCAAGGTCAGTAGTTCGATGGGTACCCACTGGTACCCATGGCGTCAAGCAACATCTAGCGTGATCAGCAGCTAGATGGATGACTAAAGGGAACCACAGCGTCAAGCAACATCTAGCGTGATCAGCAGCTAGATGGATGACTAAAGGGAACCACAGCGTCAAGCAACATCTAGCGTGATCAGCAGCTAGATGGATGACTAAAGGGAACCACAGCGTCAAGCAACATCTAGCGTGATCAGCATCTAGATGGATGACTAAAGGGAACCACAGCGTCAAGCAACATCTAGCGTGATCAGCAGCTAGATGGATGACTAAAGGGAACCACAGCGTCAAGCAACATCTAGCGTGATCAGCAGCTAGATGGATGACTAAAGGGAACCACAGCGTCAAGCAACATCTAGCGTGATCAGCAGCTAGATGGATGACTAAAGGGAACCACAGCGTCAAGCAACATCTAGCGTGATCAGCATCTAGATGGATGACTAAAGGGAACCACAGCGTCAAGCAACATCTAGCGTGATCAGCAGCTAGATGGATGACTAAAGGGAACCACAGCGTCAAGCAACATCGAGCGTGGTCAGCAGTTAGATAGGCGAAGGAACACTACGTGTTCTAGCCCTGCACACTCTTTGTGTATTTTTGTGTCAAAACATAGAAAATGTGTAAGTTGGGTTTAGAGAGAGAGAGAGAGAGAGAGAGAGAGAGAGAGAGAGAGAGAGAGAGAGAGAGAGAGAGAGAGAGGGGTGGGGAAAGAAATATACGGAAGAAAGTGTTGGATACATTTGTTTGTGTATGTGTGTGTGTGTGTGGTGTATTTTCAAGTCCAAATAATAGGGGCTAATAGTGTGTGTGTGTGTGTGTGATTGGGGGAGGGAGAAAGGAAAGCAAGAAAAAAAAAAGAAAAAAACAGAAGGATTGTATACCGAGCTATGACAACAAATGTAACGATAAAACTGACAAAATTATTCGCGTAGTGACAACTGAAACCAATGTTATCATAATTACCATGGAACAAGTCGGCTAGCAACCGGACTCTGACCTTTGAAACACATTAAAGACAGGGGCGCTGTCTAGAGAAACATCTGTTTCGTTTCGTTAACAACAAATCGGTACAGGGGCTAGAGGCTTCCCCAACCATCAAACACCAAAGCTTTTTGATGTCGCTCCGGATTTTCCGAACTTTTTTCCCAAATGTAACGACCCATCGTCAACTCCCATCCGCACCAACATCGTCCAAATTCCCAGCCTACATCCACAGGTCATCCACATTCCGCGTTCAATCCACGGTCAGATCGACAGCTAGACCCACAACCCGTATCCACAACCCGCAAATAATAAGGATAATTAGCGGTATTTCTACTTCTTCTGCGTTCGACATCAGTCATGCTAAACACCGAGTCCCGTCTGGGTCAAAAATAGGATTGTGCGTTTAAGGTCGCCACCGGTCCCCCATAGCTTCTCTCACAATGTGGATCCCCTGGGCCAGATCCACAGTCTTTGCTGGGAGAGGCAAGGGCAGCACTGCAGCATGTGCTCGCGGGTCTGTCTCTCCGCTCCACAATCACAGGCAGCAGATTCTTTCATGCCCATCCTGCACAGGTGTGCTCGAAGACCACAGTGTCCAGTCCGAAGTCCAAAAATTGATATCTGTTCTTTCCTGTTGAGTCTGCCCATGCCGTCACTTCCTGGACCGTAATCTCCATTCTGCCCTCTCCACTCCCGCTTGAAAGACTGATTCAGCGCTGTTCTGGTTTCCCTGTAGCTGTGTGGTGGATGAGGTTGTGGAAGATTACTCCCAGCCCCTGCTATCTCACCTCCCCGAATACCACTGTGGGCCGGTATCCACTGCAAGACCAGCTCTGCTCGCCTGGAGAGCAAGCCAATGTTGGTCCCCAGATCTGCAGTCAGCCCGTCTTGTTTTTTGCTTGATAGTGCTTGGAGAACAGACAACGAGTCACCAAGTACAACAATCCTGTGCCCTTTGTGTTCTTGAGCAATGAGATGCCGGACTGCAGAAAGGAGGGCAGCCGCCAAAGCTCTGAAGCCAGCGCAGATGTCACCTGCTGGTAGAGAGAGAGTTTCTGCTCCACCGCCAGGGGTCCAATGTATATTCCACAAACCCCCTTTCTGACTGCATCTGCAGCAGAGCCGTCGGTAAAACCCGAGTCCAAGTGGTGTTTGGACACCTCTTATCAAGCATAGCAAGAGCCAGGGTTCTCTGTTGTGTCTCCGTCTGGGCATCTTTTGAAGTGAAACCCTTGTACCTTTAGTATTTCTACTTACCATATGCTTTTAATGCGTGTGTATGCTAGTGCATATGCTGAGACAGCAGTCTGTGATAAAAATTATGTGTGTTTTCCGTTGGCACAGGAGCGGAGCAATTATGGGGTGACCCGTTTACTATATGGTGAAGCTTGCTGATATACTGTTTGTTCGGTTTTATATCTTTCCTTGATATTTGTATATCTTCGCAGCAGTTCATTAATTTCCCATACCTCGTGTGTCCCGCCTGCCCAGAACTGCTACTTTCTGTTTGTGCCGTTCACATTCGTCTTTACTGTGTTTTATTATTTACCAGTACAGGTATGTGCTAAAGAAGGCTCCATAACTGCAACGTTCACGTTTTTGTGTGTGTTATATGGTGAAGCTAGCTGATGTACTTTTCGTTCGGTTTTATATTTTTCCTTGGCATTTACGTACATCGGAGCCTAGCTACCCTCCCAAACCGGACCACACTTTAACAAACGACGGATAGAATCATTGTGAGGCATCACATAACATTTCACACACATCTCCGTGACATGATTAACCCGTTCTTATTGCAGGAAGACTACTATAAGGCCACTATGGCCATACGCCGAATATTTTCCCATCTATCCAAGCCCCAAAATACTCAACATTATAAATAGTGGTCCAAAGGACGCTATGTTGTGAAGCTAGCTCTCCTACGATATACGCCTGGCCAAATCAGAAGGAGCTGAAACCAAAGAGGAGACATCAGCAATGACAGGACAAGAAGAACACAGCTGACAACTGGACAGGAAATGAGAGGTCTGACTAGGAGGACAGATGTATTAGGCCTAGAGACGGCGCAAATACCAGAACTTTAGCCACGAAAGTGGAGCACTTAACCAAGACCACAAATATAGTCAGAGTCTGTGGGCAGCTTCGGCTAGCTAGCAGCAGGTTGAACGTGGTTGAGTTGTTGATTTTTTTTCTCAAAAGAAATTAAAATTAGAACAAACACTCAGCTCATCACGGCCGAAAGAAAGAGTGGCTCTTATCACATGTGATGGACAAACAGTCAACTACAGCCTTCAGATCCTGGATTGTTCTCTTCCTAGACTTGTCAAACAACTTCCGGTTAGACTTTTGATATAACAACATGGCGGTTACTGCAATCAGACGATTGTACTAAAATTATATAAACCAAAACCGAGTCAGTCTTCTTTAATTTCTATAGCTTATCTGTAGCTGTTGAAAACAACAACGCGAGAACCCCACTCATGGAACCGGCCAGACGTAGATTCATGTCTACCCCACTGGGGGTGCGGGAGCGAGAGAGAAGCGGGACTTCTCTGGTGAGACTGAAGGAGACATTGTTCGGCCGTCGCCTAGCAGTATCTCAAAGTTTGTACAAGAGAGATCTCCGCGGACACTTTGGCTGTGTCAACGCCATCGAGTTTTCTACTGACGGCGAGCTGATCGCATCTGGTGAGTCTGTCATGTTCTGTCGGTGTGTTTCCATTGTCTGCTGACGGCGAGCTGATCGCATCTGGTGAGTCTGTCATGTTCTGTCGTTGTGTTTCCGTTGTCTGCTGACGGCGAGCTGATCGCATCTGGTGAGTCTGTCATGTTCTGTCGTTGTGTTTCCGTTGTCTGCTGACGGCGAGCTGATCGCATCTGGTGAGTCTGTCATGTTCTGTCGTTGTGTTCCCGTTGTCTGCTGACGGCGAGCTGATCGCATCTGGTGAGTCTGTCATGTTCTGTCATTGTGTTTCCATTGCCTGCTGACGGCGAGCTGATCGCATCTGGTGAGTCTGTCATGTTCTGTCATTGTGTTTCCATTGTCTGCTGACGGCGAGATGATCGCATCTGGTGAATCTGTCATGTTCTGTCGTTGTGTTTCCGTTGTCTGCTGACGGCGAGCTGATCGCATCTGGTGAGTCTGTCATGTTCTGTCGTTGTTTTTCCATTGCCTTCTGATGGCAAGCTGATCACATCTGGAATGTGTCCATTCGCTCTGACTCAGCCTAACTGTATTATGTTAGATTTATCTTCACAGCACTCCGGACACATCCATAGGTGCTCAGATTCCCCTCTCAACATATTCATCAGTGTTGCGTGATTAATAGCGCCAGTCCTATATTGGTTAACAAGACTTCATGTGCGTCCAGTGTGCTTCTCATGCTTGGCTGTGCCGATCTCTTCTCCCAGTTCCCATGTTCTTAGCAGTAAAGTGGACACATTGCTTCCAAAATCCTCAGAACGTCCTATCTCTCTATGGGCAATGACAATGTCTGCGTGATCCATATCTTCAATTAATGCAGCACCTGCCAGTCTATCAGCTCTATCATTACCAACAAAGCCTGCATGCCCTGAGATGAATATGAAAGTAACTGCACACACAGGAGAATTTTGCAATGACTCAAGCCACAGTCTGCGTAACCAGCCTGCCTCGACCCGCCTGATCATGCTAAAAAAAAATCACTCAGCACACACACGCGGAAATAGTCCTGTGATTCTAGCCACATGAAAGTTTGTGTCACCGCCATCACCTCCATTGTCATGCTGCTGGTAGTCATAGAGAAGGCACTGCTGGCTTCTTGAATTCTTCTGTCTAAAGAACAAGCTGTGAATGCCCACGCACTCTTATGTCCTCGTATAATGGACCTGTCTGTGAAGATCACCGCATCTGTCACTTCTGACTTGTCACTGATAAGCTCACATACCTCGGCATTGACAGCAGCTGTATTCTGCTCCCAACAACTCCTATCGAGCATCATGACACAGGAGAATGAGTTGGTCTTCTTGAGGTTCTCATTAGACACATTTTGGATCCAGTTTGTAAACGAGTCCCACACAGAATGGTCAAGAATACCTTAGGTCTGTCTGTCTCTGTCTCTCTCTCTCTCTCTATCTCTGTGTAATCTGGTAATCCTAGTTTCAGCTTCATAGCAAATGGGTCACCCCACATATGCTCCGCTCCTGTGCCAACGAAAAACAAACGCAGCTCACAGTGTCACGCCATGCACTCAACTCAGAAGCTGGGCGACGAAACTACATCCTTCCAGTCTACAAATGGAGCAAAAATGCAACGGCCACCGTCTGGCCAAAAAAAAAATATATTTGCCACGGCTTTCAAAAAAAAAAAAAAAAAAAGGTGGCCGTACCTAGCGTCCATTTTGACCGGAAGAATTATATGAGGGTTAATAAACGGTCACCCCAGCAGTACCCTCCTTATTAGCTGGGGAAGGGACTTAGGACATTACATCCACCAGCAGGCGTCGCCCCTACAACGACCTGCCTGCCATCGTTAACGACTGTTCACCCAACAGCCATGCAGTTCTTTGGCACGAAGGAGACACCTTGAACTTGGGTTTCGTACTGCCGACTCCCTACTAAGATGTTATTTTATGTTCTGTTATCACAATTAATGTCACTGCACACTGGGCATACCCTTGCGTGCTCAGTTCTCTGAAGCAGCAGCCACTCTAAAGTACTTTTACTAATTGTCCCCACGAGAAGCTGGTTATATTGTCTCCTTTCTCGGCCTCGAAGACGGCATCACCATGCTTAACTCCCATGTCACGCAATCGTGTTAGTGTCAGGGATTCTTCATTCTCCACTAGCCCAGTTCGTACAGCGTTGACTATGTCTGCTCTGTCCATACTTTTTCCCGCAATCATTAGTGCAGTGCTTGCCAGTTGGTCTGCTCGCTCATTTCCCTTCACGCCCGCATGGCCCGGTGTGTAGATCCAGGTTACGGAGGTTAAGTGCGATTTCCTAATGCTTTCTATCCATTCAGAGCGCATACTGCCTGTTGCTATCTTCTGAAGCATATTCATTGAGTCTGAGACAATTACTACCTGTGTGGCGGTTTGCTCGGATACCCATGCTAAAGCTCTAGAAGCAGCAGCTATTTCCATTGTCATGCTTGACGTGGTTGTCTGGTAAGCGCCGCTGTCCTCATGTATTGTTTTCCCCTTTCTTTGAGCTGTGTATGCCCATGCTGACCTTGATCCGCGCTTCACGGATCCATCTGTGTAGATGATGGTATCTTCTGGGTCTGAATGCTGATCTATCAGTTACCTTACTTCTGTGTCTACCGCCGCAGGAATTTGATCCCTGCAGTACCTTCCGAGTGTGATGACAACCTTAGAGATGCCATGCATGTCTACTGTATATATGTATATGTGTATATATATATATATATAAGGGCTGTACCGAATAGTGTTTGTATATATATATTAGGACTATACCGAATAGTGTATGTATGTATATTTATATATATATTAGGGCTATACCGAATAGTGTATGTATGTATATTTATATATATATTAGGGCTATACCGAATAGTGTATGTATGTATATTTATATATATATTAGGGCTATACCGAATAGTGTATGTATGTATATTTATATATATATTAGGGCTATACCGAATAGTGTATGTATGTATATTTATATATATATTAGGGCTATACCGAATAGTGTATGTATGTATATTTATATATATATTAGGGCTATACCGAATAGTGTATGTATGTATATTTATATATATATTAGGGCTATACCGAATAGTGTATGTATGTATATTTTATATATATATTAGGGCTATACCGAATAGTGTATGTATGTATATTTATATATATATTAGGGCTATACCGAATAGTGTATGTATGTATATTTATATATATATTAGGGCTATACCGAATAGTGTATGTATATATATATACACACACACACCCCTCCTCCTTTTTTTTCTGTAAGTGATTTGAATGTTTCACTTGCATCATTTGCAGGTGGCGATGACCGCAGGCTGTTACTGTGGAACATTGGACAGACAATCTTTGATGATAAAGCCCCCCAGGTGATTGATACCCTGCATGTCAGCAACATCAACACCTGCTGCTTCGATGCAGGAAACAAAACTGTGTCTACAGGAGGTCAGTCGCCATCTCATGTCATACTACAAATATTTGTTTATCTGCTTCGAATCTTCTATATACTCAAGCTGCCAAAGGGTAGTGGTGGGACACTTGCCAGCCAGCCCAGAGTTTTAGGGTTCAGATCTGCATCTAGGCAAATTTGTGTAAAAATGGACCCAGCCTACAGTAATGTCCTGGAGAGTAAAGGTTGCTGGCCTGATGTTGACTACATCATCCATGGAGTGTGCTGATTGGTCTAGAATGTTGACTACATCATCCATGGAGTGTGCTGATTGGTCTAGAATGTTGACTACATCACACCATGGAGTGTGCTGATTGGTCTTGAATGTTGACTACATCACCCATGGAGTGTGCTGATTGGTCTAGAATGTTGACTACATCACACCATGGAGTGTGCTGATTGGTCTAGAATGTTGACTACATCATCCATGGAGTGTGCTGATTGGTCTAGAATGTTGACTACATCACACCATGGAGTGTGCTGGTTAGTCTAGAATGTTGACTACATCACCCATGGAGTGTGCTGATTGGTCTAGAATGTTGACTACATCATCCATGGAGTGTGCTGATTGGTCTAGAATGTTGACTACATCACCCATGGAGTGTGCTGGTTGGTCTAGAATGTTGATTACATCACACCATGGAGTGTGCTGGTTTTTCTAGAATGTTGATTACATCACCTATGGAGTGTGCTGGTTGGTCTAGAATGTTGACTACATCACACCATGGAGTGTGCTGGTTGCTTTAGAATGTTGACTACATCACACCATGGAGTGTGCTGATTGGTCTAGAATGTTGACCACATCACCCATGGAGTGTGCTGGTTGGTCTAGAATCTTGACTACATCACCCATGGAGTGTGCTGGTTGGTCTAGAATGTTGACTACATCACACCATGGAGTGCTGATTGGTCTAGAATGTTGACTACATCACACCATGGAGTGTGCTGATTGGTCTAGAATGTTGACTACATCACCTATGGAGTGTGCTGATTAGTCTAGAATGTTGACTAATCACACCATGGAGTGTGCTGATTGGTCTAGAATGTTGACTACATCACCCATGGAGTGTGCTGATTGGTCTAGAATGTTGACCACATCACCCATGGTGTGTGCTGATTGGTCTAGAATGTTGACTACATCACCCATGGAGTGTGCTGATTGGTCTAGAATGTTGACTGCTGCGATTGGTCTAGAATGTTGACTACATCACCCATGGTGTGTGCTGATTGGTCTAGAATGTTGACTACATCATCCATGGAGTGTGCTGATTGGTCTAGAATGTTGACTACATCACACCATGGAGTGTGCTGATTGGTCTAGAATGTTCACTACATCACCCACGGTGTGTGCTGATTGGTCTAGAATGTTGACTACATCATCCATGGAGTGTGCTGATTGGTCTAGAATGTTGACTACATCACACCATGGAGTGTGCTGGTTGGTTTAGAATGTTGACTACATCACACCATGGAGTGTGCTGATTGGTCTAGAATGTTGACCACATCACCCATGGTGTGTGCTGATTGGTCTAGAATGTTGACTACATCACCCATGGAGTGTGCTGATTGGTCTAGAATGTTGACTACATCACCCATGGTGTGTGCTGATTGGTCTAGAATGTTGACTACATCATCCATGGAGTGTGCTGATTGGTCTAGAATGTTGACTACATCACACCATGGAGTGTGCTGGTTGGTTTAGAATGTTGACTACATCACACCATGGAGTGTGCTGATTGGTCTAGAATGTTGACCACATCACCCATGGTGTGTGCTGATTGGTCTAGAATGTTGACTACATCGCCCATGGTGTGTGCTGATTGGTCTAGAATGTTGACTACATCATCCATGGAGTGTGCTGATTGGTCTAGAATGTTGGCTACATCACACCATGGAGTGTGCTGATTGGTCTAGAATGTTGGCTACATCACACCATGGAGTGTGCTGGTTGGTCTAAAATGTTGACTACATCATCCATGGAGTGTGCTAGTTGGTCTAGAATGTTGATTACATCACACCATGGAGTGTGCTGGTTGGTCTAGAATGTTGATTACATCACACCATGGAGTGTGCTGGTTGGTCTAGAATGTTGACTACATCACACCATGGAGTGTGCTGGTTGGTTTAGAATGTTGACTACATCACACCATGGAGTGCTGATTGGTCTAGAATGTTGACTACATCACACCATGGAGTGTGCTGGTTGGTCTAGAATGTTGACTACATCACACCATGGAGTGTGCTGGTTGGTCTAGAATGTTGACTACATCACACCATGGAGTGTCTGGTTGGTTTAGAATGTTGACTACATCACACCATGGAGTGCTGATTGGTCTAGAATGTTGACTACATAATCCATGGAGTGTGCTGGTTGGTCTAGAATGTTGACTACATCACACCACGGAGTGCTGATTGGTCTAGAATGTTGACTACATCACACAATGGAGTGTGCTGATTGGTCTAGAATGTTGACTACATCACCTATGGAGTGTGCTGGTTGGTCTAGAATGTTGACTACATTACACCATGGAGTGTGCTGGTTGGTCTAGAATCTTGACTACATCACCCATGGAGTGTGCTGGTTGGTCTAGAATGTTGACTACATTACACCATGGAGTGTGCTGGTTGGTCTTGAATGTTGACTACATCACCCATGGAGTGTGCTGATTGGTCTAGAATGTTGACTACATCACACCATGGAGTGTGTGCTGGTTGGTTTAGAATGTTGACTACATCACACCATGGAGTGTGCTGGTTGCTTTAGAATGTTGACTACATCACACCATGGAGTGTGCTGGTTGGTCTAGAATGTTGATTACATCACACCATGGAGTGTGCTGGTTGGTCTAGAATGTTGATTACATCACTTATGGAGTGTGCTGGTTGGTCTAGAATGTTGACTACATCACACCATGGAGTGTGCTGGTTGGTCTAGAATGTTGACTACATCACCCATGGAGTGTGCTGATTGGTCTAGAATGTTGACTACATCATCCATGGAGTGTGCTGATTGGTCTAGAATGTTGACTACATCACCCATGGAGTGTGCTGGTTGGTCTAGAATGTTGATTACATCACACCATGGAGTGTGCTGGTTGGTCTAGAATGTTGACTACATCACCTATGGAGTGTGCTGGTTGGTCTAGAATTTTGACTACATCACACCATGGCTGGTGTGTCTAGAATTTGACTACATCACCCATGAGTGTGCTGGTTGGTCTAGAATTACATCACTACATCACATGGAGTGTGCTGGTTGGTCTAGAATGTTGACTACATCACCCATGGAGTGTGCTGATTGGTCTAGAATGTTGACTACATCACACCATGGAGTGTGCTGGTTGGTCTAGAATGTTGACTACATCACACCATGGAGTGTGCTGGTTGGTCTAGAATGTTGACTAGAATACATCACACCCATGGAGTGTGCTGATTGGTCTAGAATGTTGATTACATCACACCATGGAGTGTTCTGGTTGGTCTAGAATGTTGATTACATCACTTATGGAGTGTGCTGGTTGGTCTAGAATGTTGACTACATCACACCATGGAGTGCTGATTGGTCTAGAATGTTGATTACATCACACCATGGAGTGTGCTGATTGGTCTAGAATGTTGACTACATCACCTATGGAGTGTGCTGGTTGGTCTAGAATTTTGACTACATCACACCATGGAGTGTGCTGGTTGGTCTAGAATCTTGACTACATCACCCATTGAGTGTGCTGGTTGGTCTAGAATGTTGACTACATCACACCATGGAGTGTGCTGATTGGTCTAGAATGTTGACTACATCACACCATGGAGTGTGCTGGTTGGTTCAGAATGTTGACTACATCACCCATGGAGTGTGCTGGTTGGTCTAGAATGTTGACTACATCACCCCATGGAGTGAGCTGATTGATCTATAATGTTGACTACATCACACCATTGAGTATGCTGATTGGTCTAGAATGTTGACTACATCACACCATGGAGTGTGCTGATTGGTCTAGAATGTTGACTACATCACACCATGGAGTGCTGGTTGGTTTAGAATGTTGACAACATCACACCATGGAGTGTGCTGGTTGGTCTAGAATGTTGACTACATCACCCATGGAGTGTGCTGGTTGGTCTAGAATGTTGACCACATCACACCATGGAGTGTGCTGATTGGTCTAGAATGTTGACTACATCACACCATGAAGTGTGCTGATTGGTCTAGAATGTTGACTACATCACCCATGGAGTATGCTAGTTGGTCTAGAATGTTGATTACATCACACCATGGAGTGTGCTGGTTGGTCTAGAATGTTGACTACATCACCTATGGAGTGTGCTGATTGGTCTAGAATGTTGACTACATCACCCATGGAGTGTGCGGATTGGTCTAGAATGTTGACTACATCACACCATGGAGTATGCTGGTTGGTATAGAATGTTGACTACATCACACCATGAGGTACTGATTGGTTTAGACTGTTGACCACGTTTATTACTGATTTAACAACAAAGCCAGTCCTCCTGTCTTCAGTCCCTAACACTTTAACAATTTTCACAAGTCTCTCTCTCTCTCTCTCTCTCTCACACACACACACACACACACAAACCACAAACACACTCAAACCCACCCACACATACTTAAACACGCACACACACACACACAATATCTAACTAAACATCTAGCAGATTTAGTCACTATCTTAATGTGTTTCATCGCAAACAACCAGCGCACTTGTCATTTTCACATGAGTTCTTACATGTCTACTAGAGCCGCACACACCATTGCTGTGGAATTGTTCTTCACTGCTATTTTCACCCTCATCTTGAAAACCATTTATTTTCACACAGACACTGTCCCTTTATTTTTCAACATAATTGCCACCAACACTAATGCACTAATCTTATTTTATCACTCCTCCCAAACCTGCCGCAAAGATTTGCATGCTCTGTTTTCTAAACCACATTTTCACTTCACATTCAACTTCTGCGTCACTTACAAAAATGTTTCCCACCAAGGTGGGTATTCAGTGGACCAAAAGGTGAAAATCGCTGTGACCTCTGGTGTCAGTCCCTTTAGCTGCATCCTTACAATGGCTTTTTGTGTGTTCTATCAGTTGTGTGTGTTTGTGCATAATGTTAAATGTGTAGTTATGATACGTGTGTTTGTGTTCCATGTATGTGTGTATGCTTCTAAAGCTCTGTGTTTAATGGTTATCTTCCTTACAGGCAACGATGGTCAAGTCATTGTCCACGACATTAACATGTGAGTACCCGTGTATATTGTACTTTTAGTAGTCTCTGTCTATATTGTTCATGGCCAGGTGTTGGACTTATCTGTCTTGTGGTCAGTGGTTGGAGTATCTGAAAGATACCTGTCTTTGGGTGTCTCTGGTTCAATGATTGAAGTGTCTTATGAGGGGCTGTGTCATGTTTGCCATGGCCATGGTTCACAAATGATTAGCATGCCTCACTATATCACAGTAAAACTGTTTACTTTCATTGTGCAGTGGGCATTAGTAGCGGCAGAGAGCAGCTCATTGAAGTCCTCTTGTTTATCGATACCTGGTAGTATTTGTCTTTGCTAACACATTCCATAGATATGATCAACAAAAAATGTAAAAGCATATACCACTGTCTTACTATCCCAATAGATGTTAAGTTAGTTAGGGGAGTCTCCATGGCAGGGTATAGATGTTAAGTTAGTTAAGGGAGTCTCCATGGCAGTGTATAGATGTTGAGTTAGTTAAGGGAGTCTCCATGGCAGTGTATAGATGTTGAGTTAGCTAAGGGAGTCTCCATGGCAGGGTATAGATGTTAGTTAAGGGAGTCTCCATGGCAGGGTATAGATGTTGAGTTAGTTAAGGGAGTCTCCATGGCAGTGTATAGATGTTAAGTTAGTTAAGGGAGTCTCCATGGCAGTGTATAGATGTTAAGTTAGTTAAGGGAGTCTCCATGGCAGTGTATAGATGTTAAGTTAGTTAAGGGAGTCTCTATGGCAGTGAATAGATGTTAAGTTAGTTAAGGGAGTCTCCATGGCAGTGTATAGATGTTAAGTTAGTTAAGGGAGTCTCCATGGCAGGGTATAGATGTTGAGTTAGTTAAGGGAGTCTCCATGGCAGTGTATAGATGTTGAGTTAGTTAAGGGAGTCTCCATGGCAGTGTATAGATGTTAAGTTAGTTAAGGGAGTCTCCATGGCAGGGTATAGATGTTGAGTTAGTTAAGGGAGTCTCCATGGCAGTGTATAGATGTTGAGTTAGTTAAGGGAGTCTCCATGGCAGTGTATAGATGTTCAGTTAGTTAAGGGAGTCTCCATGGCAGTGTATAGATGTTAAGTTAGTTAAGGGAGTCTCCATGGCAGTGTATAGATGTTAAGTTAGTTAAGGGAGTCTCCATGGCAGTGTATAGATGTTGAGTTAGTTAAGGGAGTCTCCATGGCAGTGTTTTGATGTTAAGTTAGTTAAGGGAGTCTCCATGGCAGTGTATAGATGTTAAGTTAGTTAAGGGAGTCTCCATGGCAGGGTATAGATGTTAAGTTAGTTAAGGGAGTCTCCATGGCAGTGTATAGATGTTGAGTTAGTTAAGGGAGTCTCCATGGCAGTGTATAGATGTTGAGTTAGTTAAGGGAGTCTCCATGGCAGTGTATAGATGTTAAGTTAGTTAAGGGAGTCTCCATGGCAGGGTATAGATGTTAAGTTAGTTAAGGGAGTCTCCATGGCAGTGTTTTGATGTTAAGTTAGTTAAGGGAGTCTCTCAGGGGCGATAAATAATCTGCTTCAATATGGAAGTATGAAACATTAAATATGTTGATGTATCTCAGGGGCGATAAATCATCTGCTTCAATATGGAAGTATGAAACATTAAATATGTTGGGGTAGGTCGGGGGAGATAAATCATCTGCTTCAATATGGCACATGCGGTTATGAAATATTTCAACATGTAATGAGATATTGTATTGAAAGGAATAACATGAACCATGTCACCAGGCGACAGTCGACTGCTGTGTACGGTCTCAGCGACGCTGTTTACTGCCTATCAGCTGATCCAGTCAATGCCACCATCATTGCCACGGCAACAGATGATGGCAAGGCACATCTGATTGACTTCCGGATGTCTATTGACACAGGTAACATATTCTCTCAATCTTTGTTCTCTTGGTTGTGGTCACACAAACACTGGGCTATCTCCTCCCCCCCCCCCCCCCCCCTCTCCCTCCTTTCTCTCTGTTGTTTTGCCCCAGTGCATTCTAAGTTTCTAATGCTGTCTATCTGCAGCAACCTCTCTATGTCATGTTTCTCTGGCTACAGTAGTACTTTGGAATTCCATACAGTCCGTTCTAGGAAATCGTTGGAGTTCCAAGGTTATTTTCCCATTGAAACGAATGAAAACTAGTGTCAAATTTCCAGTCATGTCCCTTTGTGACCAGATTCGACGGTCCTCGAATTAGTGACTTGTAGAATGCAAGCAAACGGCCTTACCGATAGTATTTGCATTGAGCTTCATACTGATATTGTTATTATTCCAAGGCGGCTGGCTAATGATTGGTATTACTTAGATCCATTACAAGTGTTGTCAGTGAAATGTTGTTAATTTTGGTTACAAGTGCGTATCCAGCCTTTTTATCAAGCCTAATGACTAAAACCAGACTTGTGCTACTGATGATTGTGAATCTGCCTGCGAATGTGGTGCTGAAAGCAATACAATTCCTTGCTATGTAGAGATTCACCGGTGAATGGTGTCAGTATCACAACTGAAAGTAGTTACAGCGATGTCGGTACATTTGAAGAAAGGAGTGGCCGTGGCACAATAGACCAGAACATTTCTACAGCTGGCAATGGAGAAAGGCTGCACAAAGTAAACTTGTTGAACTTGACAATCTTCCTCCATATGAACAACAACAAGGTGTCATGTTGGACATGATTGGGTGTATGCCGATTGATGTTTTCAAGCTTTTTTCTCTGACCCTCTGTCTGTACAGTGTATTCAGTCTCTCTGTCTGTTATTCTCGCTTTGTCTGTTGCTGTCCCTTTGATAACTGTTTCTGTCTGTTGCCTTCTTCATTCCAAGCAGAACCACGTATACTGCAGTTTCTGACCATCTCTATCTGTATGTTTCTTTGTCTGTCTGGGTCTCTATCTCTCTCTCTCTCTTTCTCTCTCTCACACAGTCAGTGATGACAGTGAAATATACTGTTAAAAAAGAAATGCATAGTTACTGAAAGGAACAAACACTCACAATTTTGGCATTCTGCATCTTTGTAAAGCAGTAAGTGAAATTACTCAAATTTCACACAAGAATACCTTAAGGTTTTACCAATCAATTGACACCAGTTTTTTGCATCTGGGTCACGATAGTTTTTAAGCGTAGGCCTTTCCTGTTAGTTTGTGTTTGGTGTGTGGCCTCTTCAGTGACTGGATCATTGACTGGCATCTCCTGGGCATGGATGCGAACAGATGTCTGATGTGGGCCTGTGGGATGGCTGCCCACTCTTCCTGGAGTGCCTGGAACATATCACGGCCATTGGCTGGAGCAACGTTTTGGCGACAAACACATTTTTGCTGCTAATCCCACTTGTGCTCAATCGGACTCATGTCTGCAGACAGGGATGACCAGTGAAGGGTTGAAATGTAAATTGCAGCCAGGAAATGCATGATCAGCTGTGCAGAATGGGGTCTGGGGTTGTCCTTACATTGTAACTGATCATTCCCTACACCATTACACCTTCACCACCACGCAGCAGAGCTTCTTTAACACAGTTTTGTGTTAAACCTTCATTTCGTCTAAGGTAGACCCTACGCCGTCTGTCTTGACGCTGCAACCAAAAGAAAGATTGGTCACTCAAGCAGACACATCTCCACTGATTGTCACTTGCCCAGGGAAGATATTGGTGGCCTAAAGAAGTCAATTTTAGCTGTGGCGACGCATAAGGACAGGTCCTCGGTGTGGTTGTCGAGCCCAAAGTCCGACATCATGCAGTCTGTTCCGAACAATTTGATCAGTCACATGACGTCCTCAAGGCAATGCCTGCGCAGTTGAGGAAGCTGTTGTAAACCTGTTTCTGAGATGACGAAGCCGAATAAAGCGATTCTCCACTGCTGTTGTCACTCTGGGTCGTCCACTGCTATGTCGGTCTTCAACTAAACTAGGGGCTTGGAACCGGTGCCAAAGTCGACTTATGGTACTCTGATGCATGTTTAGATACCTGGCAACCTTACTTTGACATTCTCCTGCCTGCAGTCGGCCAATAGCAATATTCCTTAAATGTATCGATAGAGGTGCCATTCCTGACTGCTTGAACATGAACTGATTGTTTTAGTGTAGCGTAATCCTTTTATAGGGTTTCAGTTGCGTAGACAGTGAGTAGTGTTCACTGCAAATTATGTTGCTTTCTCATGCGCACATTGTGAGCTATGCTCACAAATATTGTGATTGACCACTGCCTTGTAATGATTACAAAAACCCACGCAATTCATGTCCACTGGACACCTTAAACAACATCTGAGTCTGCTTTTCACATACCCGAGTATGATATTTTATTTACAAACTAATAAAATGCGCCGTCGGTTAACTTTGTGTTTCTTTTTTTAAAACAGTACATTTGCGCGTGCTCAATTGTGTCTGCCAATGTTCTGTGTTCTCTGTCTTGACTAAATCATACCTGCCCATATTCTGCTATATCTATCTTGACTAAATCATACCTGTCCATATTCTGCTATACCTATCTTGACTAAATCATACCTGCCCATATTCTGCTATATCTATCTTGACTAAATCATACCTGCCCATATTCTGCTATATCTATCTTGACTAAATCATACCTGCCCATATTCTGTGATGTCTGTCTTGACTAAATCATACCTGCCCATATTCTGTGATGTCTGTCTTGACTAAATCATACCTGCCCATATTCTGCTATATCTATCTTGACTAAATCATACCTGCCCATATTCTGTGATGTCTGTCTTGACTAAATCATACCTGCCCATATTCTGTGATGTCTGTATTGACTAGATCATGTCTACCCATGTTCTATGATGTCTGTATTGACTAGATCATGTCTACCCATGTTTCTGTGATGTCTGTATTGACTAGATCATGTCTGCCCATGTTCTGTGATGTCTGTATTGACTAGATCATGTCTGCCCATGTTCTGTGATGTCTGTATTGACTAGATCATGTCTGCCCATGTTCTGTGATGTCTGTATTGACTAGATCATGTCTACCCATGTTCTGTTATGTCTGTCTTGACTAGATCATGTCTACCCATGTTCTGTGATGTCTGACTTGACTAGATCATGTCTACCCATGTTCTCTGTTCTCTGTCTTGACTAGATTGTTTCTGCCTATGACTATTATCTATCTCGACTAGATTGGTTCTGCTTATGTTCTGTGATGTCTGTCTTGACTAGTTTGTCTACCCATGTTCTCTGTTCTCTATCTTGGTTAGATCGTGTCTGCCCATATTTTGGGATGTCTATTTTAACTAGATAGTGTCTGCCTATGTCATGGCCATGTCTGACTTCCTACAGCCCCATTTGTGCTGGCTGACTTGAGCACGGCCATGCACTCTATCATGTTCAACCCTGCAGAGCCTCGTCTTCTAGCAACTGCTAACTCCAAACATGGCATTGGCCTCTGGGATGTCCGCATGCCTCTCAAGTAAGTTTTGTGTGGGCAACTGTGGGGGGGGGGGGGGGGGGGGATGGAATACCTGAGACAGTATTGTGTTGGTGACTATTAGTGGTGTGTGGTTAGATGACTGTGTGATAAGAGTGATTGAGATAGCATTGTGTGGGTGACTGAGAGTTATTGTGTGGGTGGGTGACATTGACAGCATTGTGTAGATGATTGAGACAGTTATTGTATGGGTGTACTTTGGCAGCGTTGTATGGGTGTCTTTGGCAGCATTGTGTGGGTGATTTCATCAATATTGTTTGGATGTGTTGCAGTCTTTCAACAATATTATTGTTGATTCAGGGACCATGTGAAAAATCGATTTCCTGTTGTTGATTCAGGTGTTTGCAGTACAAGAGCAATGTCCAAAACTGTATGAGTGTGCGGTTCAACAGTCGAGGCGACCAGCTGCTGGCCCTGCGCCGGCGCTCCTCTCCGGTTCTATTTGACATTGCTAAACTACACCCAATTTATGAGTTTGACTACAAGACCTACTACAACGCCTGCACCCTGAAGAGTTGTAGTTTTGCTGGGCTCAAGGATGAGGTTAGTCAGTGTGGCTTCAGAGTAGATGTGTGGGCATGGCTTCAGGGGAGATGTGTGGGCATGACTTCAGGGTAGATGTGTGGGCATGGCTACAGGGGAGATGTGTGGGTGTGGCTTTAGGGGACATGTGTGGGCTTGGCTTCAGGGGAGATGTGTGGGCATGGCTTCAGGGGAGATGTGTGGGTGTGGCTTCAGGGGAGATGTGTGGGCATGGCTAAAGGGGAGATGTGTGGGTGTGGCTTCAGGGGAGATGAGTGGGCATGGCTACAGGAGAGATGTGCGGGCATGGCTTTAGGGGAGATGTGTGGGCATGGCTACAGGAGAGATGTGTGGGCATGGCTTCAGGGGAGATGTGTGGGCATTGCTACAGGGGAGATGTGTGGACATGGCTTTAGGGGAGATGTGTGGGCATGGCTACAGCAGAGATGTGTGGGCATGGCTTCAGGGCAGATGCATGGGCATGGCTTCAGGGGAGATGTGTGGGCATGGCTACAGGGGAGATGTGTGGGCATGGCTACAGGGGAGATGTGTGGGCATGGCTTCAGGGGAGATGCATGGACATGGCTTCAGGGGAGATGTGTGGACATGGCTTCAGGGGAGATGTGTGGGCATGGCTACAGGGGAAATGTGTGGGCATGGCTTCAGGGTAGATGTGTGGGCATGGCTACAGGGGAGATGCGTGGGCATGGCTACAGGGGAGATGTGTGGGCATGGCTACAGGGGAGATGTGTGGGCATGGCTTCAGGGGAGATGCGTGGGCATGGCTTCAGGGGAGATGTGTGGGCATGGCTTCAGGGTAGATGTGTGGACATGGCTTCAGGGGAGATGTGTGGGCATGGCTACAGGAGAGATGTGTGGGCATGGCTTCAGGGTAGATGTGTGGGCATGGCTACAGGGGAGATGTGTGGGCATGGCTACAGGGGAGATGTGTGGGCATGGCTTCAGGGGAGATGCGTGGGCATGGCTTCAGGGGAGATGTGTGGGCATGGCTTCAGGGTAGATGTGTGGGCATGGCTACAGGGGAGATGTGTGGGTGTGGCTTCAGGGGAGATTTGTGGGTGTGGCTTCAGGGGAGATTTGTTGGCATGGCTACAGGGGAGATGTGTGGGCATGGCTAGAGGGGAGATGTGTGGGTGTGGCTTCAGGGGGATATTTTGGGCATGGCTTTAGGGGAGATTTGTTGGCATTGCTCCAGGGTAGATGTGTGGACATGGCTTCAGGGGAGATGTGTGGGCATGGCTACAGGGGAGATGTGTGGGCATGGCTACAGCGGAGATGTGTGGGCATAGCTTCAGGGTGGATGTGTGGGCATGGCTACAGAGGAGATTTGTGTGCAGGCTTTAGGGGAGATGTGTGTGCAGGCTACAGGGGAGATGTGTGGGCATGGCTACAGCCAAGATTTGTGTGCAGGCTTTAGGGGAGATGTGTGTGCAGGCTACAGGGGAGATGTGTGGGCATGGCTTCAGGGTAGATGTGTGGGCATGGCTACAGAGGAGATTTGTGTGCAGGCTTTAGGGGAGATGTGTGTGCAGGCTACAGGGGAGATGTGTGTGTGCAGGCTACAGGGGAGATTTGTGTGCAGGCTACAGGGGAGATTTGTGTGCAGGCTACAGGGGAGATGTGTGTGCAGGCTACAGCGGAGATTTGTGTGCAGGCTACAGGGGAGATTTGTGTGCAGGCTACAGCGGAGATTTGTGTGCAGGCTACAGGGGAGATTTGTGTGAAGGCTACAGGGGAGATTTGTGTGCAGGCTTCAGGGGAGATTTGTGTGAAGGCTTCAGGGGAGATTTGTGTGCAGGCTTTAGGGGAGATGTGTGTGCAGGCTACAGGGGAGATGTGTGTGCAGGCTACAGGGGAGATGTGTGTGCAGGCTACAGGGGAGATTTGTGTGCAGGGTACAGGGGAGATTTGTGTGAAGGCTTTAGGGGAGATTTGTGTGAAGGCTTTAGGGGAGATGTTTTGGTATGGCTTCAGGAGGGATATGTGGAATGTTGAACTAAAAATCAACATCACTTAACTCGGGACACCCCCATAAGTACTCTGTCCACATTTTCAGCAGCAATCAAGAGTTCAAATTCTGATGGTACCGATAACTCTGATTGTACATCCTTCTCACCTTTTCCTTGAATTTTGAGCATCAGCCAGATTCTCTGGTAACTCTCTGCAGCGACATTCTCCTCAGACTGTAATGATCTGTTTGTGCTTCCACACTGTTCACTGGCTCCCAAAGGGCCCTAACAACATCTAGATTGTCATACATCCCTACCCAGTGGTGCACAACCAGCCAGTCTATCTGTCTGCTCTCAACACAACAGCAAGACCTAAAGAAAGTTTGCAAAAGATAATTGCCCCGGACCTCTTTTAAGCGCTGCTTGCCACTCTGCATGGAGCATGCCTATCTCCGCCTTTCTCAACATACTCGAGTCAGTTAAGAGAAAACGGCATGTATTTTGCACAATATTCTCAAGCCTGCTAAAGGCAACAGTGACTGCCTCCACCTCTATTCTCAGCCTAGACATTGTGATATCAGGCCAGGCTGTGTCCATTTCTTTTTGCTATGAACCCCCACGCTCTGTCGTCTATCTATCCACACAGAGCCATCTGTATAGATCATCACATCACCTGGGCGGCAATCGTCATCAATCATTTATTCAACTTGTGATTCTGCAGCACCAGTCGGCCAGTCGCTGCAGCAGTTGGCCAGTCACTGCAGCAGTTGGCCAGTCACTGCAGCAGTTGGCCAGTCACTGCACCAGTCGGCCAGTCCCTGCACCAGTTGGCCAGTCCCTGCAGCAGTCGGCCAGTCCCTGCACCAGTTGGCCAGTCCATGCACCAGTCGGACAGTCCCTGCACCAGTCCGCCAGTCCCTGCACCAGTTGGCCAGTCCCTGCACCAGTCCGCCAGTCCCTGCACCAGTCCGCCAGTCCCTGCACCAGTTGGCCAGTCCCTGCACCAGTCGGCCAGTCCCTGCACCAGTCCGCCAGTCCCTGCACCAGTCCGCCAGTCCCTGCACCAGTCGGCCAGTCCCTGCAGCAGTCGGTCAGTCCCTGCAGCAGTCGGCCAGTCCCTGCACCAGTCGGCCAGTCGCTGCACCAGTCCCTGCAGCAGTTGGCCAGTCCCTGCACCAGTCCCTGCACCAGTCCCTGCACCAGTCCCTGCACCAGTCGGCCAGTCGCTGCACCAGTCGGCCAGTCGCTGCACTCATAACCTAAAGTAATTAGAACCCTACACAAGTCTAATTGTTGCTGGGAAACTTTGACCCACTCCTCTCTCCGCCCAAATTTATCAAGCCTGTCACATCTAATGAGATATGTCCATGATGATCTGTAGAAGTGTATCTGTGTCTTGTGTTGAACTGTAGAAATATATCCAAGTTGATTTGTAGAAGTCTATGTTTTATGCTGAACTGTAGAAGTATTTATGTTGAACTGTAGAAGTCTGTGTCTTGTGTTGAACTGTAGAAGTATTCATGTTGAACTGTAGAAGTGTGTTCATGTTGAACTGTAGAAGTGTGTCCATGTTGAACTGTAGAAGTGTGTCCATGTTGAACTGTAGAAGTGTATTCATGTTGAACTGTAGAAGTGTGTCCATGTTGAACTATAGAAGTGTATACATGTTGAACTGTAGAAGTGTGTTCATGTTGAACTGTAGAAGTGTGTTCATGTTGAACTGTAGAAGTGTGTCCATGTTGAACTGTAGAAGTGTGTCCATGTTGAACTGTAGAAGTGTATACATGTTGAACTGTAGAAGTGTGTTCATGTTGAACTGTAGAAGTGTATCCATGTTGAACTGTAGAAGTGTGTCCATGTTGAACTGTAGAAGTGTGTCCATGTTGAACTGTAGAAGTGTGTCCATGTTGAACTGTAGAAGTGTATCCATGTTGAACTGTAGAAGTGTATTCATGTTGAATTTGAGAAATGTATCCATGTCTTGTTTGGAACTATAGAAATGTATCTGTGTCTTGATAGAAACTGTAGAAATATATCTATGTCTTGCATAGAACTATAGAAATGTATCCGTGTCCTGTATAGAACTATAGAAATGTATCCGTGTCGTGTATAGAACTATAGAAATGTATTCTTGTCTTGTATCGAACTATAGAAATGTATGCGTGTCTTGTATTAAACTATAGAAATGTATTCATGTCGAGTACTGAACTATAGAAATGTCGCTTGTCTTGTATCAAACTATAGAAATGTATCCATGTCGAGTACTGAACTATAGAAAAGTATCCATGTCGAGTACTGAACTATAGAAATGTCTCTTGTCTTGTATCAAACTATAGAAATGTATCCATTTTGAGTACTGAACTATAGAAATGTCTAAAGAGCCATAAAAAAACTGTTTCACATTGTCGCTGTATCTGCAGTATGTCATTTATCATCTGCAGTATGTCATGTCAGGCTCTGACGACTTCTGTGTCTACCTATGGAAAATCCCCAGTGACATTTCTGAGAACTGTGAGTACTTTAGGAAGTTAACTGAGAACTGTGAGTACTTTAAGGAGTTAACTGAGAACTGTGAGTACTTTAGGAAGTTAACTGAGAACTGTGAGTACTTTAGGAAGTTAACTGAGAACTGTGAGTACTTTAAGAAGTTAACTGAGAACTGTAAGTACTTTAAGAAGTTAACTGAGAACTGTGAGTACTTTAGGAAGTTAACTGAGAACTGTAAGTACTTTAAGGAGTTAACTGAGAACTGTGAGTACTTTAGGAAGTTAACTGAGAACTGTGAGTACTTTAGGAAGTTAACTGAGAACTGTGAGTACTTTAAGAAGTTAACTGAGAACTGTGAAACTTTAGGAAGTTAACTGAGAACTGTGAGTACTTTAGGGAGTTAACTGAGAACTGTGAGTACTTTAAGAAGTTAACTGAGAACTGTGAGTACTTTAGGGAGTTAACTGAGAACTGTGAGTACTTTAAGAAGTTAACTGAGAACTGTGAGTACTTTAGGAAGTTAACTGAGAACTGTGAGTACTTTAGGGAGTTAACTGAGAACTGTGAGTACTTTAAGAAGTTAACTGAGAACTGTGAGTACTTTAGGAAGTTAACTGAGAACTGTGAGTACTTTAGGGAGTTAACTGAGAACTGTGAGTACTTTAAGAAGTTAACTGAGAACTGAGTACTTTAGGGAGTTAACTGAGAACTGTGAGTACTTTAAGAAGTTAACTGAGAACTGTGAGTACTTTAAGAAGTTAACTGAGAACTGTGAGTACTTTAAGAAGTTAACTGAGAACTGTGAGTACTTTAAGAAGTTAACTGAGAACTGTGAGTACTTTAAGAAGTTAACTGAGAACTGTGAGTACTTTAAGAAGTTAACTGAGAACTGTGAGTACTCTAGGAAGTTAACTGAGAACTGTGAGTACTTTAGGAAGTTAACTGAGAACTGTGAGTACTTTAAGGAGTTAACTGAGAACTGTGAGTACTTTAGGAAGTTAACTGAGAACTGTGAGTACTTTAAGGAGATAACTGAGAACTGTGAGTACTTTAAGGAGTTAACTGAGAACTGTGAGTACTTTAGGAAGTTAACTGAGAACTGTGAGTACTTCAAGGAGTTAACTGAGAACTGTGAATACTTTAAGGAGTTAACTGAGAACTGTGAGTACTTTAAGGAGTTAACTGAGAACTGTGAGTACTTTAGGAAGTTAAGTGAGAACTGTGAGTACTTTAGGAAGTTAACTGAGAACTGTGAGTACTTTAGGGAGTTAACTGAGAACTGTGAGTACTTTAAGGAGTTAACTGAGAACTGTGAGTACTTTAAGGAGTTAACTGAGAACTGAGTACTTTAAGGAGTTAACTGAGAACTGTGAGTACTTTAGGAAGTTAACTGAGAACTGTGAGTACTTTAGGAAGTTAACTGAGAACTGTGAGTACTTTAGGGAGTTAACTGAGAACTGTGAGTACTTTAGGAAGTTAACTGAGAACTGTGAGTACTTTAGGAAGTTAACTGAGAACTGTGAGTACTTTAGGAAGTTAACTGAGAACTGTGAGTACTTTAGGAAGTTAACTGAGAACTGTGAGTACTTTAGGAAGTTATCTGAGAACTGTGAGTACTTTAGGGAGTTAACTGAGAACTGTGAGTACTTTAGGGAGTTAACTTAGAATTGTGAGTACTTTAAGGAGTTAACTGAGAACTGTGAGTACTTTAAGGAGTTAACTGAGAACTGTGAGTACTTTAAGGAGTTAACTGAGAACTGTGAGTACTTTAAGAAGTTAACTGAGAACTGTGAGTACTTTAACTCTTTGGGTCCCAGGGGGTTTAGCACCACAGGCCCAAGTGGTAGTCAAGAGAGACGTAAAATTGGCGCATCTTGCGTTCATTGGGCTTCTAGGTAGGAATCTATGAACGTATGATGCGTTCCTTGGGACTCAAAGAGTTAAGAAGTTAACTGAGAACTGTGAGTGCTTTAAGGAGTTAACTGAGAACTGTGAGTACTTTAAGGAGTTAACTGAGAACTGTGAGTACTTTAAGGAGTTAACTGTCTGTGTGAGTTCTGGGGCCCCATTTCATGGAGAACAATCATAGACCCACTGGCCCCCCCCCCCCCCTCCTTTCCAACAAGCATCCCGTGAACTAAGCTGAACTAGAACTAATTACGTGTGTTTACTTCAAAGTCAGAGTGCATCTGTATGATGGGCGAGGAACCAACAGTCTGCATACAAGCCAAATCTGTAAAACATGTGCATGCATAACTCAATTTCTGGAATAAGACTGAAGTCCAGAAGTGAATGAACAGCCGGAACTTTCTGCTGCAGTTTACAGCCGGTGAACATGAAGAAGAAGAAAATGAATACTTTGACAGTATAGTAAAGTACTTTGAAGAGATAACTATGAGTACTTTGAAGAGATAACTATGAGTACTTTGAAGAGATAACTATGAGTACTTTGAAGAGATAACTATGAGTACTTTGAAGATATGGAAACTGTAAGTATTTTAATTAGATGTTAACTGTATGTATTTTGATAAGAGAACTGTGAGAGCTTTGATGAGATGTTAACTGTGAGTACTTTGATGAGAGAACTGTGAGTACTTTGATGATAAAACAGTGAATACTTTGATGAGAGAACTATGAGTACTTTGATGAGAGAACTATGAGTACTTTAATGAGAGAACTATGAGTACTTTGATGAGAAAACAGTGAATACTTTGATAAGATGTTAACTGTGAGTATTTTGTTAAGGGAACTGTGAGAACTTTGATGAGATGTTGACTGTGAGAACTTTGATGAGATGTGAACTGTGAGTACTTTGATGAGGTGTGAATTATGAGTACTTTGATGAGATGCGAACTCTGAGTACTTTGATGAGAGAACTTTAAATACTCTGATGAGATGTGAACTGGGAGTGATGAGAGAACTGTGAGTATATTGATGATATGTAAACTGAGTACTTTGATGAAAAAAACTGTGAGCACTTTGATGAGAAAACTGTGAGTACTTTGATGAGAAGTGAACAGTGAGTACTTTAATGAGATGTGGTCATTGATTGCTTTCATCTGATTTGGACATTGAGTACTTTGATGGTAAGTTAACTGTAAGCACTTTGATGAGAGGTAAACTGTGAGTACTTAGATGAGAGTTGAATTTTGAGTACTTTGTTAAAATGTGAATTGTGAATACTTTGATGAGAGAACTGTGAGTACTTTGATGAGATGTCAACTCTGAGCACTCTTATAAGATGTGGCCATTGAGTACTTTGATGGGAAGTAAACAGTGAGTACTTTGATGACTGAAATCTTTGATGAGATAGTAATATTGTAGAAGAATCTTGGCATATGTCAGTGTGTAAAGTATTTCTGTGCCACATCTGTCATCACATCAGTGTGTAAAGTATCTCTGTGCCACATCTGTCATCACATGTCAGTGTGTAAAGTATCTCTATGCCACATCTGTCATCACATGTCAGTGTGTAAAGTATCTCTGTGCCACATCTGTCATCACATGTCAGTGTGTAAAGTATCTCTGTGCCACATCTGTCATCACATGTCAGTGTGTAAAGTATCTCTATGCCACATCTGTCATCACATGTCAGTGTGTAAAGTATCTCTGTGCTACATCTATCATCACATGTCAGTGTGTAAAGTATCTCTGTGCCACATCTGTCATCACATATCAGGGTGTAACGTATCTCTGTGCCACATCTGTCATCACATGTCAGTGTGTAAAGTATCTCTGTGCTACATCTATCATCACATGTCAGTGTGTAAAGTATCTCTGTGCTACATCTATCATCACATGTCAGTGTGTAAAGTATCTCTGTGCCACATCTGTCATCACATATCAGGGTGTAACGTATCTCTGTGCCACATCTGTCATCACATGTCAGTGTGTAAAGTATCTCTGTGCTACATCTATCATCACATGTCAGTGTGTAAAGTATCTCTGTGCCACATCTGTCATCACATATCAGGGTGTAAAGTATCTCTGTGCTACATCTGTCATCACATGTCAGTGTGTGAAGTATCTCTGTGCCACATCTGTCATCACATGTCAGTGTGTAAAGTATCTCTGTGCTACATCTATCATCACATGTCAGTGTGTAAAGTATCTCTATGCCACATCTGTCATCACATGTCAGTGTGTAAAGTATCTCTGTGCCACATCTGTCATCACATGTCAGTGTGTAAAGTATCTCTGTGCCACATCTGTCATCACATGTCAGTGTGTAAAGTATCTCTGTGCTACATCTATCATCACATGTCAGTGTGTAAAGTATCTCTGTGCCACATCTGTCATCACATATCAGGGTGTAACGTATCTCTGTGCTACATCTGTCATCACATGTCAGTGTGTGAAGTATCTCTGTGCCACATCTGTCATCACATGTCAGTGTGTAAAGTATCTCTGTGCTACATCTATCATCACATGTCAGTGTGTAAAGTATCTCTATGCCACATCTGTCATCACATGTCAGTGTGTAAAGTATCTCTGTGCCACATCTGTCATCACATATCAGGGTGTAAAGTATCTCTGTGCCACATCTGTCATCACATGTCAGTGTGTGAAGTATCTCTGTGCCACATCTATCATCACATGTCAGTGTGTAAAGTATCTCTGTGCCACATCTGTCATCACATGTCAGTGTGTAAAGTATCTCTATGCCACATCTATCATCACATGTCAGTGTGTAAAGTATCTCTGTGCCACATCTGTCATCACATGTCAGTGTGTGAAGTATCTCTGTGCCACATCTGTCATCACATGTCAGTGTGTAAAGTATCTCTGTGCCACATCTATCATCACATGTCAGTGTGTAAAGTATCTCTGTGCCACATCTGTCATCACATGTCAGTGTGTAAAGTATCTCTATGCCACATCTGTCATCACATATCAGTGTGTAAAGTATCTCTGTGCTACATCTATCATCACATGTCAGTGTGTAAAGTATCTCTGTGCCACATCTGTCATCACATATCAGGGTGTAACGTATCTCTGTGCCACATCTGTCATCACATGTCAGTGTGTAAAGTATCTCTGTGCTACATCTATCATCACATGTCAGTGTGTAAAGTATCTCTGTGCCACATCTGTCATCACATATCAGGGTGTAACGTATCTCTGTGCTACATCTGTCATCACATGTCAGTGTGTGAAGTATCTCTGTGCCACATCTGTCATCACATGTCAGTGTGTAAAGTATCTCTGTGCTACATCTATCATCACATGTCAGTGTGTAAAGTATCTCTATGCCACATCTGTCATCACATGTCAGTGTGTAAAGTATCTCTGTGCCACATCTGTCATCACATGTCAGTGTGTGAAGTATCTCTGTGCCACATCTATCATCACATGTCAGTGTGTAAAGTATCTCTGTGCCACATCTGTCATCACATGTCAGTGTGTAAAGTATCTCTATGCCACATCTATCATCACATATCAGTGTGTAAAGTATCTCTGTGCCACATCTATCATCACATGTCAGTGTGTAAAGTATCTCTATGCCACATCTGTCATCACATGTCAGTGTGTGAAGTATCTCTGTGCCACATCTATCATCACATGTCAGTGTGTAAAGTATCTCTGTGCCACATCTGTCATCACATGTCAGTGTGTAAAGTATCTCTGTGCCACATCTGTCATCACATGTCAGTGTGTAAAGTATCTCTGTGCCACATCTGTCATCACATATCAGGGTGTAAAGTATCTCTGTGCCACATCTGTCATCACATGTCAGTGTGTGAAGTATCTCTGTGCCACATCTATCATCACATGTCAGTGTGTAAAGTATCTCTGTGCCACATCTATCATCACATGTCAGTGTGTAAAGTATCTCTATGCCACATCTGTCATCACATGTCAGTGTGTAAAGTATCTCTGTGCCACATCTGTCATCACATATCAGGGTGTAAAGTATCTCTGTGCCACATCTGTCATCACATGTCAGTGTGTGAAGTATCTCTGTGCCACATCTATCATCACATGTCAGTGTGTAAAGTATCTCTGTGCCACATCTGTCATCACATATCAGGGTGTAACGTATCTCTGTGCTACATCTGTCATCACATGTCAGTGTGTGAAGTATCTCTGTGCCACATCTGTCATCACATGTCAGTGTGTAAAGTATCTCTGTGCCACATCTATCATCACATATCAGTGTGTAAAGTATCTCTGTGCCACATCTGTCATCACATGTCAGTGTGTGAAGTATCTCTGTGTCACATCTATCATCACATGTCAGTGTGTCACTGAAACTCAGCACATGATTTACCTGTTCGCAGTATCAGACATATTGACATTTGACTTTTTTAGGAAAAAAGCTGGTGTTATTAACTGTTTGACATTGACATGTGTACGAAACTGATATTGTGTGAGAAACTGACATTTGTGTGACACTGACATTTGCACATCACTGACACATATGTGACAATGAGATGTGTGTGTGAGACACTGACATTTGTGCATCACTGACACATATGTGACAGTGAGATATGTGTGTGACACTGACATTTGTGCATCACTGACACATATGTGACAGTGAGATGTGTGTGTGACACTGACATTTGTGCATCACCGACACATATGTGACAGTGAGATGTGTGTGACACCGACATTTGCGCATCACTGATACATATGTGACAATGACATGTGTGTATGACACTGACATTTGTGCATCACTGACACATATGTGACAGTGAGATGTGTGTGTGACACTGATATTTGTGCATTACTGACACATATGTGACAGTGAGATGTGTGTGACACTGACATGTGTGTGACACTGACATGTTTGTGACACTGACATGTGTGCCACTAGTACTGACTTCAGTGTTGAGCACAAAGTTTAGTAAACATTTGTTTCTCCTTGCAGACATTCAGTCACAGCCACACATGATACTGAAAGGTCATCGCTCTATCGTCAATCAAGTGCGCTACTGTTCCCACAACCAGACTATCATTTCTTCTGGTGTGGAGAAACTCATTAAGGTCAGTCTCTCTCATTCACACTGTCTGCTTCTCAATGTGTGTGTGCATGTATGTCAACAATCCATGTGTGCGTGCGTGCGTGTGTGCGCACACATTTGTCAGCAGTCCATGTGTGTGCACACATTTGTCAGCAGTCCATGTGCCTGTACATTTGAAACAATCCATATGTGCATGTGCACATTTGTCAACACTCCATGTGTGTGTGCACACTTGTCAACACTCCATATGTGTGTGTGCACACTTGTCAACACGCCATATGTGTGCGCACTTGTTAACACTCCAAATGTGTGTGTGTGTGCACACTTGTCAACACTCCATATGTGTGTGTGTGTGTGCACACTTGTCAACACTCCATAAGTGTCTGCACACTTGTCAACAATCTTTGTATGTGCACATTTGTCCTCAGTCCATGTGTGTATGTGCACATTTATCAACAATCTTTGTATGTGCACATTTGTCAACAGTCCATATTGTGTGCACATTTGAAAAAAATCCGTGTGTGTGCATATCAATCAGTAGTCCACATGTATGTATGTGTGTGTGTGTGTGTGTGCACATTTATCAGCAATCCATGCGTGTGTGCGTACATATTTTCAGCAATAGATTGTGTATATGTGTGCGTGCATATTTTCAGCAATAGATTGTGTATATGTGTGCGTGCACACATGTCAGCAATCCATGTATGATTTTTCACATTTATCAACTTCTTAATCTTATTTATTTGTTGTTACGGGCGGTAAAATGCATGCACACACTCTTGCTTGCACACACATATACATGCAAACCTACTCACTCACACACCTATATGCACCCACATACACACACATCCACATACCTACACACATACACTCTCACAAACACACATGCAGCTGCACAAACACACCTACAAACACACGCAGGCAGAGAGACACACACACACAGAAACATACACACTACACACACTCTCACAAACACACAGGCAGGTGCACAAACACACCTACAAACACACACAGGCAGAGAGACACACACAGAGACATACACACTACACACAGATATGTACAGTCACACCTGCAGAGAAACACAGACATTATGAAATAGGCACACGCATGGACACACCTACAGACAAACACAGACATAATGCAACCACAGACATGCACAAACATATACATATAGCTACACAAAGTGACATACACAAAACTCACACACACACAGACATACTCGCACTGATAAACACAAAGCCACACACACACAGACATACTCGCACTGATAAACACAAAACTCACACACACACAGACATACTCGCACTGATAAACACAAAGCCACACAGGCACAGACATACCTAGAGACACATAATTGGACACAGAAAAGAAGAGGTCAGCAGTATATAAAGTAAATCAGCTGTAAGGTATATCAACTGTAAGGTATGTCAGCTGTAAGGTATAACAGCTGTTAGGTATATCAGCTGTTAGGTGTGTCAGATGTAAGGTATGTCAGCTGTAAGGTACGTCGTCTGTAAGGTACATTAGCTGTAAGGTACGTCAGCTGTAAGGTAGATCAGCTGTAAGGTACGTCAGCTGCAAGGTACGTCAGCTGTAAGGTACATCAGCTGTAAGGTTCTCAGCAGTAAGGTACATCAGCTGTAAGGTATATTAGCTGTAAGGTGAATTCTCTCTATGGTGTATCAGAGATTAAGTATATTCAATGTCTGGTACATTAGCTGTAAGGTATATCAGTTGTCAGGTAGAGAACTCAAATATTGATCTGACATCTCACCTGCTGTTTATTTCTGCAGATGTGGAGTCCCTACTATATCCCAGGATGCACTGGCCACCTGACACACAGCCGTCGCTACGGTGATGATGATGAGATAGAACGTAATGCCTACAGCCACGAGGAGTACATCCACATGGTGCTGCAGGCAGGCAGCTTCCTGTCCCATGACTACACTAACGGCAGCATGGAAGAAGAGCCGTGCATGATTGCTTTCTTTGACAGCTTGATCCAGAGGGAAGTGGAGCAGACTGTGCAAGGGGAGGATGCTGAGGTGCAGGAGAGTGATGACGACCTCACAGGTCATGATGCAGGTAGTGACGGTGACCAAAGAGAGGCCGAGAGACCTGGTCGGATCAGATCCCCGATTGATGGTGACCAGCGGACAGCTGACACCCCCGGCAAAGTGAGACCACCTGGTGATGTTGTTTCTGATCGTGAGGAGGTGAACAGTTCAACAGCCAGCGAGAGTGAAGATGCCAGTAACACCCGAGACACCAGCCTAAGCTCGTCCAGCCGACTTGAGGACTCATCCAGACCTTTTTTCATGGACCTGGAGTCGTCTTCCGACAGCGAGGGAGAGGTGGACGTTATTCTGAGTGCTATGTACACCAGGTACATGTCGGCTAGAGAACGAGCTCTCAACTCCAACTTGAGACCCACTGGCAAGAAGATTTCGAGTGTCATCGCTAAAGGCAAACAGAGAGACCGTAGCCTCCAGAAGCAAGCCAGGACACGCAAGCGACAGAGAATACGTAAGAATATTACCAGTCTGAGCATACTAGCCGACGTTATAGACACGTTTGTGGACAACCTGGTTTCCACGGAACCCAGCAACAGTCGAACACTTAGTGACACCAATGATGGCCATCTGAGTACAGATTCTGACAGCGACAACAGCTCCACACCGGTCGAGGTGATTCACCAGACCATGACCTTATACACTGATGACACTTCATCTGTCACAGCAGTTCCAGCCTTGTCACGGCCAGCAACCACAAATGACAGTGCTGTTGATATGCCAGTTGTCCCACTCGGCCTTGAATCTGGCATGTACTTTATGCCAGAATTGCAAGCTTTTGCCCCTGAATCTTTCAACGCTGTTGCCAATTTGGCTAATTTGCCAGGCCCCTCCCGCAGTGGTAATTTTAGGAGAAATAACACACCACTGGACACCTCATCACATAATCACCGGAGGAGATTGAGGTCAAAGCCACCATCTGAAACCAGCCATGGCCATACCTTGAACAGTTCTGCCCCCCGCAGTGCTGCTGGTGATCCTGTCTCTAATGGTTGTAGCAGTAGTGGTAGATGTTGCAGTAGTAGTGGTAGATGTTGCAGTAGTAGTGGTAGATGTTGCAATAATAGGAATAGCAGCAGTTCTGGTGGTCATCAGTTCAGCAGTAATGAGAGGAGTTCCAGCTGCCCCACAGACTTGGTGCCAACACAGGTAGGCCCTGCCAGCAGGCACACTGGATGGGAAGTGAGCAGTGACCTAGTAGATGCAAGTAGACAGGGAGCAGACAGGCAGCATATGCGAGTGTCTTCAACAATGACTGATGACACGGGGTTGCTAGGGGAGACATCTCAGCATATGTCTGCCTCTTTAACAATGACTGATGACACGTGGTTGCTAGGGGAGACATCTCAACACAACCAGTGCCCTTCGTCGTCGTCATCCTTCATAACAGCAGCCGGCTCCCATCATTTGGGGCCCTGGTGGTCATCAGCTAGGACAGCTAGAACATCCACGGATGTCTCATCCAGAACATCTACGGATGTCTCATCCAGAACATCCACGGATGCCTCATCCAGAACATCCACGGATGCCTCATCCAGAACATCTATGGATGCCTCATCCAGAACATCCACGGATGCCTCATCCAGAACATCTACGGCTGTCTCGTCCAGAACATCTAGGGATGCCTCGTCCAGAACATCTACGGATGCCTCATCCAGAACATCCACGGATGCCTCATCCAGAACATTTAGAGATGCCTCGTCCAGAACATCTACGGATGCCAACTGCAACAAGCCTGTGAAAATACAGTTTAAAAGAGCCAAAGTTGTGGGAAGGAGATTCCGAGTGCACAGATGTGAGCCAAACTCTTCTAGTGATGAAGATAAATAATTCTTTTAGTGATGAATTGTGTTTAACCTGTCTCCAAGGAAACTGAATGATGTGTGATCCTGTGCTCTTCATCGCATAATTGCAGGAGGAGAAAAAAGTTAATGATTTCATTACAGTGAAACTTCTGCATCAGTATGTGTGAGTTGTCTTGGCTTGCTTTTGGTCTGGACATATCAGGCCCTCTCCTAGACATACAAACTGATCATGTGTAATGTGTGAAATCATCTCTCTGATGAGATGTGTAATGTGTGAAGTCATGTCCCTGATGAGATGTGTAATGTGTAGAGAGATGTGTAATGTGTGGAGTCATGTCTTTGATGAGATGTTTAATATGTAAAATCAATCTCTCTAATGAGATGTGTAATGTGTGGAGTCTTGTCTCTGATGAGATATTAATGTGTGGAGTCATGTCTCTGATGAGATGTGAAATGTGTGGAGTCATGTCTTTGATGAGATGTTTAATATGTAAAATCAATCTCTCTGATGAGATGTGTAATGTGTGGAGTCTTGTCTCTGATGAGATATTAATGTGTGGAGTCATGTCTCTGATGAGATATTAATGTGTGGAGTCATGTCTCTGATGAGATGTTTAATGTGTGGAGTCATGTCTCTGATGAGATGTTTAATGTGTGGAGTCATGTCCCTGATGAGATGTTTAATGTGTGGAGTCATGTCTCTGATGAGATGTGTAATGTGTAGAGTCATGTCCCTGATGAGATGTGTAATGTGTAGAGTCATGTCCCTGATGAGATGTGTAATGTGTAGAGTCATGTCTCTGATGAGATGTTTAATGTGTGGAGTCATGTCTCTGATGAGATGTTTAATGTGTGGAGTCATGTCCCTGATGAGATGTTTAATGTGTGGAGTCATGTCTCTGATGAGATGTTTAATATGTGGAGTCATGTCTCTGATGAGATGTTTAATGTGTGGAGTCATGTCTCTGATGAGATGTGTAATGTGTGGAGTCATGTCTCTGATGTGTAATGTGTAGAGTCATGTCTCTGATGAAATGTTTAATGTGTGGAGTCATGTCTCTGATGAGATGTGTAATGTGTGGAGTCATGTCCCTGATGAGATGTTTTATGTGTGGAGACATGTCCCTGATGAGATGTTTTATGTGTGGAGTCATGTCCCTGATGAGATGTTTTATGTGTGGAGTCATGTCTCTGATGAGATGTGTAATGTGTGGAGTCATGTCTCTGATGAGATGTGTAATGTGTGGAGTCATGTCTCTGATGTGTAATGTGTGGAGTCATGTCTCTGATGTGTAATGTGTGGAGTCATGTCTCTGATGAGATGTTTAATGTGTGGAGTCATGTCTCTGATGAGATGTGTAATGTGTGGAGTCATGTCTCTGATGAGATGTTTAATGTGTGGAGTCATGTCTCTGATGTGTAATGTGTGGAGTCATGTCTCTGATGTGTAATGTGTGGAGTCATGTCTCTGATGAGATGTGTAATGTGTAGAGTCATGTCCCTGATGAGATGTGTAATGTGTAGAGTCATGTCCCTGATGAGATGTGTAATGTGTAGAGTCATGTCTCTGATGAGATGTTTAATGTGTGGAGTCATGTCTCTGATGAGATGTTTAATGTGTGGAGTCATGTCCCTGATGAGATGTTCAATGTGTGGAGTCATGTCTCTGATGAGATGTTTAATATGTGGAGTCATGTCTCTGATGAGATGTGTAATGTGTGGAGTCATGTCTCTGATGTGTAATGTGTAGAGTCATGTCTCTGATGAGATGTTTAATGTGTGGAGTCATGTCCCTGATGAGATGTGTAATGTGTGGAGTCATGTCCCTGATGAGATGTTTTGTGTGTGGAGTCATGTCCCTGATATGTTTTATGTGTGGAGTCATGTCTCTGATGAGATGTGTAATGTGTGGAGTCATGTCTCTGATGAGATGTGTAATGTGTGGAGTCATGTCTCTGATGTGTAATGTGTGGAGTCATGTCTCTGATGTGTAATGTGTGGAGTCATGTCTCTGATGAGATGTTTAATGTGTGGAGTCATGTCTCTGATGAGATGTTTAATGTGTGGAGTCATGTCTCTGATGAGATGTGTAATGTGTAGAGTCATGTCTCTGATGAGATGTGTAATGTGTAGAGTCATGTCTCTGATGAGATGTTTAATGTGTGGAGTCATGTCTCTGATGAGATGTTTAATGTGTGGAGTCATGTCTTTGATGAGATATTAATGTGTGGAGTCATGTCTCTGATGAGATGTTTAATGTGTGCAGCCATCTCTCAGGTGTACTATTTGTGCAGTAATCTTTCTTACATGTGTAAGGTGTGCAGTCATCTCTCCGACTATGTGTGTAATGTATGGAGTCATCTCTCGGATTATGTGAGATGTATTGAGTCATCTCATAGATTATGTGTGTAATTTATGGAGTCTTCAGTCATTCAACTATATATGGACCATTACTGTCAGAAGACAGAAGGTTTGGTTTCTGTCTGATTGTTACACAGATTTTCTATTATTTCTGTTTGAGTCACATGCAGTTATCTTGCACTAAAAAAAAAAAAAATACAAAGTATATCACAGAAGTACTCGAGAATACTTACAAAAATAAACAAACAGGTTCTAGTGATGTACTTCTAAAGTTTATCAACCACTTTGTATTATTAATTACTGGATTTAATTTATGTGACTGATGGTATGACACTGAATGTAATTTAAAAATAAAAAGTATGACAGATGATTATTTCAACATATGTCCTGTCTTGTTATCTGCTTGTGACAACTTGAGTTGAGAAGTCCCAGTGTCTGAGCCTCTATCACTGGTAGATGCTGGGGTCACCAGGCTGCTGCAGCATCCACAGTTTCTTCCCTGGCTATCAGTGTCATTTCTCTGAGCAAAGAAGAGCATCTTGCTAGTCATGATCTGGGAGACTATCATCTTATTGAGTCATGACCTGGGAGACTATCATCTTATTGAGTCTTGACCTGGGAGACTATAATCTTATTGAGTCTTGACCTGGGAGACTATAATCTTATTGAGTCTTGACCTGGGAGACTATCATCTTATTGAGTCATGACCTGGGAGACCATCATCTTATTGAGTCATGACCTGGGAGACTATCATCTTATTGAGTCATGACCTGGGAGACTATCATCTTATTGAGTCATGACCTGGGAGACTATCATCTTATTGAGTCATGACCTGGGAGACTATCATCTTATTGAGTCTTGACCTGGGAGACTATCATCTTATTGAGTCTTGACCTGGGAGACTATCATCTTATTGAGTCATGACCTGGGAGACTATCATCTTATTGAGTCGTGACCTGGGAGACTATCATCTTATTGAGTCGTGACCTGGGAGACTATCATCTTATTGAGTCGTGACCTGGGAGACTATCATCTTATTGAGTCGTGACCTGGGAGACTATCATCTTATTGAGTCGTGACCTAGGAGACTATCATCTTATTGAGTCGTGACCTAGGAGACTATCATCTTATTGAGTCGTGACCTGGGAGACTATAATCTTATTGAGTCGTGACCTGGGAGACTATCATCTTATTGAGTCGTGACCTGGGAGACTATCATCTTATTGAGTCATGACCTGGGAGACTATCATCTTATTGAGTCGTGACCTGGGAGACTATCATCTTATTGAGTCGTGACCTGGGAGACTATCATCTTATTGAGTCGTGACCTGGGAGACTATCATCTTATTGAGTCGTGACCTGGGAGACTATCATCTTATTGAGTCGTGACCTGGGAGACTATCATCTTATTGAGTCGTGACCTGGGAGACTATCATCTTATTGAGTCGTGACCTGGGAGACTATCATCTTATTGAGTCGTGACCTGGGAGACTATCATCTTATTGAGTCGTGACCTGGGAGACTATCATCTTATTGAGTCGTGACCTGGGAGACTATCATCTTATTGAGTCATGACCTGGGAGACAATAATCTTATTGAGTCATGACCTGGGAGACTATCATCTTATTGAGTCATGACCTGGGAGACTATCATCTTATTGAGTCATGACCTGGGAGACTATCATCTTATTGAGTCATGACCTGGGAGACTATCATCTTATTGAGTCATGACCTGGGAGACTATCATCTTATTGAGTCATGACCTGGGAGACAATCATCTTATTGAGTCATGACCTGGGAGACTATCATCTTATTGAGTCATGACCTGGGAGACTATCATCTTATTGAGTCTTGATCTGGGAGACTATCATCTTATTGAGTCTTGATCTGGGAGACTATCTTCTTATTGAGTCATGACCTGGGAGACTATCATCTTATTGAGTCATGATCTGGGAGACTATCTTCTTATTGAGTCATGACCTGGGAGACTATCATCTTATTGAGTCTTGATCTGGGAGACTATCATCTTATTGAGTCTTGATCTGGGAGACTATCATCTTATTGAGTCTTGACCTGGGAGACTATCATCTTATTGAGTCATGACCTGGGAGACTATCATCTTATTGAGTCATGACCTGGGAGACTATCATCTTATTGAGTCATGACCTGGGAGACTATCATCTTATTGAGTCATGACCTGGGAGACTATCATCTTATTGAGTCTTGATCTGGGAGACTATCATCTTATTGAGTCTTGATCTGGGAGACTATCATCTTATTGAGTCTTGATCTGGGAGACTATCATCTTATTGAGTCTTGATCTGGGAGACTATCATCTTATTGAGTCATGACCTGGGAGACTATCATCTTATTGATTCATGACCTGGGAGACTATCATCTAATTGAGTCTTGACCTGGGAGACTATCATCTTATTGAGTCATGATCTGGGAGACTATAATCTTATTGAGTCATGACCTGGGAGACTATCATCTTATTGAGTCATGACCTGGGAGACTATCATCTTATTGAGTCATGACCTGGGAGACTATCATCTTATTGAGTCATGACCTGGGAGACTATCATCTTACTGAGTCATGACCTGGGAGACTATCATCTTACTGAGTCATGACCTGGGAGACTATCATCTTATTGAGTCATGACCTGGGAGACTATCATCTTATTGACTCATGATCTGGGAGACTATCATCTTATTGAGTCTTGATCTGGGAGACTATCATCTTATTGACTCATGACCTGGGAGACTATAATCTTATTGAGTCATGACCTGGGAGACTATCATCTTATTGAGTCATGATCTGGGAGACTATCATCTTATTGAGTCATGACCTGGGAGACTATCATCTTATTGAGTCTTGATCTGGGAGACTATCATCTTATTGAGTCTTGATCTGGGAGACTATCATCTTATTGAGTCTTGATCTGGGAGACTATCATCTTATTGAGTCTTGATCTGGGAGACTATCATCTTATTGAGTCATGATCTGGGAGACTATCATCTTATAGAGACATGACCCGAGAGACTATTATCTTATAGAGACATGACCTGGGAGACCATCGTCTTGCCTGAGTTCATTTATGAGGTGCCAACCAACTGATACACTTGTGTACCTGTGCGGTTAAACTGGGTTAATTTGTCAACTAGTGCCTCAGCCTACAGCCACCTGTCTGTAGAACCTGACCAGTCATTCCATGGCTATCCACACTAGAGGTGAGTCTGCCAAACAACCCACAGATATCTCTGGTCTACTACACACATGTCCTCTAAACAAACACACTGTGACATTGGAAACACAAAGAATGTTGGTGAGCTCAACAAACAGCAGACACCTGTGATAGCTCCAGATAAGTGCTGTCATGACAGCAGTGGCAACTCTTTAGTGTTGTCATGACAGTGGTGACTCTTAAGTGTTGTCATGTCAGTGGTGACACTTAAGTGTTGTTGTGACAAGTGATGACCTTTTAGTGATGTCATGACAGTGGTGACTCTTGTCATGACAGTGATGACTCCTTAGTGATATCATGACAGTGGCGACTCTTTAGTGTTGTCAGTCCTGACAGTGTATGAGGCCGCCTTTGTGGAAACACCAAAGTAGCACTCGTGGGTGGGGCTGGTAGGGTCTGTGTGCTCTTCGACCCTTGCCACTTTCACCACAAGACCTGATGCAGAGAAGTTGGTCAAGTTGAAGGCCACAGAGATGGGCCCAATGTCAGCCAGTTCAAGGCTCTTGTCTGTGTTCAGGATCAGCTGTGGATGGATGGACATGTTTCACACTTTAACACAATTCTCTTTTGTCTACAGGGACATTTTAACACAATTCTCTTTTGTCTACAGGGACATTTTAACACAATTCTCCTTTCTCCATGTGGAGACTTCAACTCATTTCTCTTTTGTCTACATAGACACTTTAAGACAACAATCTTTTTTCCAAACAGACACTTTAATACAACTATCTTTTGTCTACATGGGCATTTTAACACAATTCTCTTTTGTCTTCACAGACAGTTTAACACAATTCTCTTTTGTCTTCACAGACATTTTAACACAATTCTCTTTTGTCTTCACAGACATTTTAACACAATTCTCCTTTCTCCATGTGGAGACTTCAACTCATTTCTCTTTTGTCTACATAGACACTTTAAGACAACAATCTTTTTTCCAAACAGACACTTTAATACAACTATCTTTTGTCTACATGGGCATTTTAACACAATTCTCTTTTGTCTTCACAGACAGTTTAACACAATTCTCTTTTGTCTTCACAGACATTTTAACACAATTCTCTTTTGTCTTCACAGACATTTTAACACAATTCTCCTTTCTCCATGTGGAGACTTCAACTCATTTCTCTTTTGTCTACATAGACACTTTAAGACAACAATCTTTTTTCCAAACAGACACTTTAATACAACTATCTTTTGTCTACATGGGCATTTTAACACAATTCTCTTTTGTCTTCACAGACAGTTTAACACAATTCTCTTTTGTCTTCACAGACATTTTAACACAATTCTCTTTTGTCTTCACAGACATTTTAACACAATTCTCTTTTGTCTTCACAGACAGTTTAACACAATTCTCTTTTGTCTTCACAGACATTTTAACACAATTCTCTTTTGTCTTCACAGACAGTTTAACACAATTCTCTTTTGTCTTCACAGACATTTTAACACAATTCTCTTTTGTCTTCACAGACATTTTAACACAATTCTCTTTTGTCTTCACAGACAGTTTAACACAATTCTCTTTTGTCTTCACAGACAGTTTAACATGTCTCTTGTGTCTGAATAGACACTTTAACACAACTGTCTACACAGCAGCCACCAGCACATTGCACACAGTGCTAGACTCATGTTTCTGTACACCAAACAGGACAGGATGGGTGATGTGTCAGCCACCGGCACACTGCTAGACTCATGTTTCTGTACACCAAACAGAACAGGATGGGTGATGTGTCAGCCACCGGCACACTGCTAGACCCATGTTTCTGTACACCAAACAGAACAGGATGGGTGATGTGTCAGCCACCGGCACATTACACACAGTGCTAGACCCATGTTTCTGTACACCAAACAGAACAGGATGGGTGATGTGTCAGCCACCGGCACATTACACACAGTGCTAGACCCATGTTTCTGTACACCAAACAGAACAGGATGGGTGATGTGTCAGCCACCGGCACACTGCTAGACTCATGTTTCTGTACACCAAACAGAACAGGATGGGTGATGTGTCAGCCACCGGCACATTACACACAGTGCTAGACCCATGTTTCTGTACACCAAACAGAACAGGATGGGTGATGTGTCAGCCACCAGCACACTGCTAGACCCATGTTTCTGTACACCAAACAGAACAGGATGGGTGATGTGTCAGCCACCGGCACATTACACACAGTGCTAGACCCATGTTTCTGTACACCAAACAGAACAGGATGGGTGATGTGTCAGCCACCGGCACACTGCTAAACCCATGTTTCTGTACACCAAACAGGACAGGATGAATGATGTGTCAGCCATCCTGACTTCTTTTGACATACTCTGATAGACATTTAGGCTTGGAACCCTAGTCCACAATCACAACTGGCTGGTTGCAGACTTAAACCAATATCATAGAACCAGTCTGGTCAATGTGGCTGCTTTATCCAGAGTGGTACAAACACACTAACTACCAATCTGTGCTGATCTCAGATGGTACTCAGACAAATGTTGTCACACTTGTCTGCACAAGGCAGTGTGACATACACTAACTACCAATCTGTGCTGATCTCAGATGGTACTCAGACAAATGTTGTCACACTTGTCTGCACAAGGCAGTGTGACATACACTAACTACCAATCTGTGCTGATCTCAGATGGTACTCAGACAAATGTTGTCACACTTATCTGCACAAGGCAGTGTGACATACACTAACTACCAATCTGTGCTGATCTCAGATGGTACTCAGACAAATATTGTCACACTTGTCTGCACAAGGCAGTGTGACATACACTAACTACCAATCTGTGCTGATCTCAGATGGTACTCAGACAAATATTGTCACACTTGTTTATGCGCACTGGTGACTCCTACTGAGCACCGGCGACAATGGTGATCCCTGGGCAGACCCTTTAGGTTGCGTTGAGGTTTCGATGCCCATCCACCACATAAAGCGACACTTCTTTTGAATATCACTGCTTCAATCCAGTTGACCCTTTTTTTTCTTCTATTTGCATATCAAACAGTAGACTGATGAGCATGTTGTATGGGATGCTGTTGTTCTAAGTCAACAGCGGCTGTTTCTATTCTTTCCTGGAAACTCTTGTGTGTGTCACAGGCAAATACTGCAGCACTGCACCATGTCTCTTTCAGGTCGGTAACCACCTCCAATGTTTGAGCCAACGTTCCAACCACAATCGTTTCCACGAGTTTTCCTACAGTTTTCTGGAGTGTAATGATTCTGTAGCCATTTATTCTCTCATTGTCTTCATGGCTCAGGAACAGGTCTGAGGTAGTTATGGAGCCAGTCATCAGGAATAATGCCATTTTCATGGTGCTGTTAAATATCTTCAATAGTTCATCCATGTCAGGTATTCTATGTCACAGCTGCCTACATGAGGTAGACAGGTATTCTATGTCACAGCTGCCTACATGAGGTAGACAGGTATTCTATGTCACAGCTGCCTACATGAGGTAGACAGGTATTCTATGTCACAGCTGCCTACATGAGGTAGACAGGTATGCTATGTCACAGCTGCCTACATGAGGTAGACAGGTATGCTATGTCACAGCTGCCTACATGAGGTAGACAGGTATTTGATGTCACAGCTGCCTACATGAGGTAGACAGGTATTCTATGTCACAGCTGCCTACATGAGGTAGACAGGTATGCTATGTCACAGCTGCCTACATGAGGTAGACAGGTATGCTATGTCACAGCTGCCTACATGAGGTAGACAGGTATTCTATATCACAGCTGCCTACATGAGGTAGACAGGTATTCTATGTCACAGCTGCCTACATGAGGTAGACAGGTATTTGATGTCACAGCTGCCTACATGAGATAGACAGGTATTCTATGACTCCAGTTCCCCACCATCCGCTCAACAACTGACAAGTTACAGCCCTTACCCTGAAAGTGATGGCAGCTTCAGAACCACCTTCAGACCTCTTCACCTCCCACTCAACAAATTTCTCTGCAGGAACAAAGTTGCTGGACTGAGCCGTCTGTTCTCCATGCTTGGTGGTGGCAACACTGCAATGTTGATACAAGGCTACATACATCAACTAGCATCACTTGCCTGTCAGCTAGCAAGATTAAATCAAGAAAGAACACACAGCTACTGTAGACACAAGATAAAAAATGAAGAAAGAATATACAACAACTGTAGACACAAGGTAAAATAAAAAAAATAAAATAAAAGCACTACAATTGTAAACACAAGATAAAAAAGAAAATACTACGACTGTATACACAAGATACAATCAAGAAACAACACAGCAACTGTAGACACAGCAACTGTAGACACACAGCAACTGTAGACACACAGCAACTGTAGATACACAGCAACTGTAGACACACAGCAACTGTAGACACAAGATACAATCAAGAAAGAACACACAGCAACTGTAGACACACTGCAACTGTAGACACAAGATAAAATCAAGAAAGAACACACAGCAACTGTAGACACAAGATAAAATCAAGAAAGAACACACAGCAACTGTAGACACACAGCAACTGTAGACACACAGCAACTGTAGACACAAGATAAAATCAAGAAAGAACACACAGCAACTGTAGACACACAGCAACTGTAGACACACAGCAACTGTAGACACAAGATAAAATCAAGAAAGAACACACAGCAACTGTAGACACACAGCAACTGTAGACACACAGCAACTGTAGACACAAGATAAAATGAAGAAAGAACACACAGCAACTGTAGACACACAGCAACTGTAGACACAAGATAAAATCAAAAAAGAATACATAGCAACTGTAGACACAAGATAAAATGAAGAAAGAACACACAGCAACTGTAGACACACAGCAACTGTAGACACAAGATAAAATCAAGAAAGAACACACAGCAACTGTAGAAACAAGATAAAATCAAGAAATAACACAATGCAACTGTAGACACACAGCAACTGTAGACACACAGCAACTGTAGAAACAAGATAAAATCAAGAAATAACACAATGCAACTGTAGACACACAGCAACTGTAGTCACACAGCAACTGTAGACACACAGCAACTGTAGACACAAGATAAAATCAAGAAAGAACACAATGCAACTGTAGACACACAGCAACTGTAGACACACAGCAACTGTAGACACACAGCAACTGTAGACACACAGCAACTGTAGACACAAGATAAAATCAAGAACGAACACACAGCAACTGTAGACACACAGCAACTGTAGAAACAAGATAAAATCAGAAAAGAACACACAGCAACTGTAGACACACAGCAACTGAGGACACACAGCAACTGTAGACACAAGATAAAATCAAGAAAGAACACACAGCAACTGTAGACACAAGATAAAATCAAGAAAGAACACACAGCAACTGTAGACACACAGCAACTTTAGACACACAGCAACTGTAGACACACAGCAACTGTAGACACACAGCAACTTTAGACACAAGATAAAATCAAGAAAGAACACACAGCAACTGTAGACACACAACAACTGTAGACACACAGCAACTGTAGACACACAGCAACTGTAGTCACACAGCAACTGTAGACACAAAGCAACTGTAGACACAAAGCAACTGTAGACACACAGCAACTGTAGACACCAGATCAAATCAAGTAAGAACACAATGCAACTGTAGACACAAGATAAAATCAAGAAAGAACACACAGCAACTTTAGACACAAGATAAAATCAAGAAAGAACACAAAGCAACTGTAGACACACAGCAACTTTAGACACAAGATATAACAAGAAAGAACACACAGCAACTGTAGGCACACAGCAACTAGACACACAGCAACTGTAGACACATAGCAACTGTAGACACACAGCAACTGTAGATACAAGATAAAATCAAGAAAGAACACAATGCAACTGTAGACACACAGCAACTTTAGACACAAGATAAAATCAAGAAAGAACACACAGCAACTGTAGACACACAGCAACTTTAGACACAAGATAAAATCAAGAAAGAACACACAGCAACTGTAGACACACAGCAACTGTAGACACACAGCAACTATAGACACACAGCAACTGTAGACACAAGATAAAATCAAGAAAGAACACACAGCAACTGTAGACACACAGCAACTGTAGACACACAGCAACTGTAGACACAAGATAAAATCAAGAAAGAACACACAGCAACTGTAGACACACAGCAACTGTAGACACAAGATAAAATCAAGAAAGAACACAATGCAACTGTAGACACAAGATAAAATCAAGAAAGAACACACAGCAACTGTAGACACAAGATAAAATCAAGAAAGAACACACAGCAACTGTAGACACACTGCAACTGTAGACACAAGATAAAATCAAGAAAGAACACACAGCAACTGTAGACACAAGATAAAATCAAGAAAGAACACACAGAAACTGTAGACACACAGCAACTGTAGACACAAGATAAAATCAAGAAAGAACACACAGCAACTGTAGACACACAGCAACTGTAGACACACAGCAACTGTAGACACAAGATAAAATCAAGAAAGAACACACAGCAACTGTAGACACACAGCAACTTTAGACACAAGATAAAATCAAGAAAGAACACACAGCAACTGTAGACACACAGCAACTGTAGACACAAGATAAAATCAAGAAAGAACACAATGCAACTGTAGACACAAGATAAAATCAAGAAAGAAAGAACACACAGCAACTGTAGACACAAGATAAAATCAAGAAAGAACATACAGCAACTGTAGACACACAGCAACTGTAGACACATAGCAACTGTAGACACAAGATACAATCAAGAAAGAACACACGGCAACTGTAGAAACAAAATAAAATCAAGAAAGAACACACAGCAACTGTAGACACAAGATACAATCAAGAAAGGACACACAGCTATGTCTGTGCATGTCGTTGTGGCTGTATGTGTGTGTCTCAGTGTGGGTGTCGGTATGTTTGTCTGTGTGTGTATGTGTCTGTGTGTGTAGACACAAGGTAAAATCCAACAGCATACCTGGAGACACAGTGTGGTAGCTTGACCTTGACCCTGATGTAGGAAGCTGTAGCATGGCTCTCTGCCTGGTTGATAAGTCGCAGGTGTAGGTTCTGATCTCTGCAAACATGTCAAAGAAATGTCTTGGCAAACATGTCAGAGAAATGTCTTGGCAAACATGTCAGAGAAATGTCTTGGCAAACATGTCAGAGAAAAGTCTTGGCAAACATGTCAGAGAAATATCTTGGCAAACATGTAAGAGAAATGTTGTTCAGGTACAGGCGAAGGATACACACAAGCCAGACAGACAGACTAGCACAGGTGAAGGACACGCACAAGCCAGACAAACAGACTAGCACAGGTGAAGGATACACACAAGCCAGACAGACAGACAGACCAGCACAGACGAAGGATACACAAAAGCCAGACAGACAGACTAGCACAGGTGAAGGACACACACAAGCCAGACAGACAGACAGACTAGCACAGGTGAAGGACACACACCAGCCAGACAGACTAGCACAGGCGAAGGATACACACAAGCCAGACAGACAGACTAGCACAGGTGAAGCACACACACAAGCCAGACAGACAGACAGACTAGCACAGGTGAAGGACACACACCAGCCAGACAGACTAGCACAGGCGAAGGATACACACAAGCCAGACAGACTAGCACAGGTGAAGCACACACACACGCCAGACAGACAGACAGACTATCACAGGTGAAGGACACACACAAGCCAGACAGACAGACTAGCACAGGTGAAGGATACACACAAGCCAGACAGGCAGACTAGCACAGGTAAAGGACACACACAAGCCAGACAGGCCAGCACAGGTGAAGGACACACACAAGCCAGATAGACAGACAAGCACGAGTGAAGAGCACACACAAGCCAGACAGAGAAAACAAACTTTATTTTTAAAGGGTCACAAATTGGGCTCGCAGGCCTGTTTTACACTCGGCCCTTTCAATCACCCATTTTTTTTTTTTGCACAGCAGTTGTATTTGACCAATGAAGCATGTTATGATCATATGTTGATACGAATATTATAGGGGGAAAAAACAAGAGCATGAATAGTAAAATGCATACAAAAACCCCATATGCATACACTCACCCACATTCACACGCCCACCCACTCACTTACACACACATTCACAGATACATACAGGCATACAAATAGGCATGCATGGAGACACACATGCACCCCTTCAGACACACACTTACGCAGACATACAAACAGACATTCATACGCAGGTGCACAGCAGACATATGTACATACATGCTCACACACTGAAACACACACAGACACATAAACACCAGACAAACATACCGACACCCACACTGAGACACATACATCAGCCACATGGACACGCACACAAACACATACATTCACAGGCAAACATGCAGGCAACCACATATGGACACACATACAAACACCAGAAACACACACACAAACATCCACACACAGAAACACACACACAAACATCCACACACAGAAACACTTAGACAAACACATACAAACACATACGCAGACACATAGTCACATACACAGAGACATATACATCGACATGCAGAACCATACACACAACAAAGAGGCACACACACAGACACATTGACAATCACCCATACATACACAAGACAAACGCACACACAATACACACACAGAGAAATTCTGAAAAATTAATACCGACACATAGACATGGACATACGTCCGAACACACACATTCAGACATGTAACACAAAGACACACGCAGACACATACATTTGCAGACTCACATGCAGATACACAAATACACCCACACATGCAGACCAAAAAAAAAAAACACACACACACACACACACACCACAGATAAATACACACAGACTCATAAAATGTGCACACACACACTCATACATACTCAGAATAATAAAAACACGCCTACACATACAAACATGTCCCACATATTCATGTGCGTGCAAACATCATAGACACCTTATTTAATAATAAATTGATAATGCAATATAGATTATTAACTATGTTCAAGGTGGCATTGTGGTGAAATAGGGTTTAAGAAAGGGGTGAACAAGTAGGGGGTAGCATGGAGAATATGCCAGAACCCGTGGGAGTAAATACAGGAACATTGATCACTTTGGCATGACAACCGGGGGCATCTGTGAACAGGTGGTACCAACGCATCAAGCCTATCGATCAGCTCATAGATAATAAAACAGGACGAGACAAACCAGAGATCCACAGTGCTCAGAACAAAGAGGTGACGGATGGCACTGAGGCAAGATGGGAGCTCTCCCCCGGGACTAATCAGGTTAACACAGATTTATCGGAGGTAGTCAAACTCTACAGAGATAGCGATTAAAGCTTGGACGGAGACATAGCAACCCTGGGCGTGCCGAGTAGATAAGGAGATTAATCTCTCCTTTAGATAAAGCAGGACCAATGGGACAGAGAGAAGTTGGTACAGGTTGAAGGGGGGCAGTCGGTAATGGATCACCCACTGGGAGAAGTGAACCCAAGCTAGGGTGAGCGGGAGAGTTAGAGCCTGGATTTTTAGCTGGGCGGTCGACAAGAACTGAGGTTTGTGAGTAGAAGGTTGATGATAGTAAACCTGGGTAAGCTTCACTAGAAGAGATTTTTCTACAGGACGTTAACAGAGACTGGAGAAACAGTCGAGAGAGTTAATAACCAGCTCGTAATGAAGTAGCATCCTAGCAACGTGTATTGAAGTAATCATCATTGTGTTAAGGAACTTATCGTCACATATGAATAGTCAGCAATAATGTACTCAAGTGTTCCTACTTTTGTTCAAAGGAAGTATATTCGTTCTGCTTAAATTGTTCAATAAACAAACTTGTTATCAATCGAATTGTTGGATCACTGGCCGTGTTGTCAAACATAGTCAAGCGACGTACAAACAGTGTCAAAAATACTTAGTTCCGTTTAGGCACCTCTGAATGAGCTTGGGAGATGTGGAAGATACAACTGTGTCACAGCACATAATTGCTTGTGAGCATGAACTGAACAGTTTGTGATGAAATGAATAGGGACTGTAAATTTTTCAGGTCCAGTGAAGTTAGTTCCATAGACAAGCAGTGGAGTACGCTAAACTTGTTTTATTAAAATCTATTCTAGGTTTATTAATTTGTTTTCAATCTGAAACAAGGTGTAAAGTGTGATTTTGAAGGGAACTTAGTTTTGTAACATTAGATTTGACGCAACTATCCCAGACACTGGAGCAATAGTCGACATGTGTTTGGATGTAGGATGTGATAAATATTGTTCTTGTATCCTCATCCAGAGTGTGCTCAATGTTAGCAAGCTGATAAACTTGTTGTGATATTTTCTTAGTTATGACACAAACATGAGAATTCCAAGTTAGACCAGCATAGGTGAAGGACACACAAGCCAGACAGACAGAGAAAGAGAGACTAGCACATGTGCAGGACACACAAGCAAGGCACAGAGAGACAGAGAGAGACTAGCATATGCGAAGGACACACAAAAGCCAGACAGACAGACAGAGACCAGCTAATGTGATGGACACCCACACCGGACAGACAGACCAGCACATGTGAAGGACACACACATCAGACAGACAGACCAGCAAATGTGAATGACACACACATCAGACTGACAGACCAGCACATGTGAATGACACACACAAGCCAGACAGACAAGCAAATGTGAAGGACACAAACGCAAGCCAGACAGACAGACCAGCATGTGGGAAGGACATACATAAGCCAGACAGACAGACAGACCAGCAAATGTGAAGGACACAAACACAAGCCAAACAGACAGACAGATCAGCACATGGGAAGGACACAAACATGCCAGACAGACAGACCAGCATGTGGGAAGGACATACATAAGCCAGACAGACAGACAGACCAGCAAATGTCAAGGACACAAACACAAGCCAAACAGACAGACAGATCAGCACATGGGAAGGACACAAACATGCCAGACAGACAGACCAGCAAATGTGAAGAACTCACCTGCTTCCATCAACAGGGACCAGGGATGGAACCACCAGGACAGGGATGTTGATGCAGGCAGAATCTGACAGTGTGTAGATCATCAGACGAGTCTGTCAACACATCACACAAACAATACAGACTACAGGTTACTGCTAGCAGCATTTATACTTCGCCAACCACAGACAACACACTTCTACCCCCCCCCCCCCCCCCCCACTACCCCCCACAACATGGTAGGCTGTGTAAGTCACTATAACATCATGTGTGCTTTGTTCTGATATAGAATAACTACGGTTTAAATGTTGCCATTAATTCTACTGGTGACTTGTAAGGTGGTGTAAATCTCCTTCCAAATGTTGCCATTAATTCTACTGGTGACTTGTAAGATGGTACAAATCTCATTCCACAGGTTGCAATTAATTTGACTGGTGACTTGTAAGACGGTGCAAATATCCTTCCTCAGGTTGCCATTAATTCTACTAGTGACTGGTAAGATGGTACAAATCTCATTCCACAGGTTGCGATTAATTTGACTGGTGACTTGTAAGACGGTGCAAATATCCTTCCTCAGGTTGCCATTAATTCTACTGGTGACTTGTAAGATGGTACAAATCTCCTTCCAAATGTTGCCATTAATTCTACTGGTGACTTGTAAGATGGTACAAATCTCCTTCCAAAGGTTGCCATCAATTCTACTGGTGACTTGTAAGACTGTAAAATCTCCTTCAATGGTTACTTGTAAGACTGTACAATCTCCTTCCATGGTTACTCGTAAGACTGCACAATCTCCTTCCATGGTTACTCGTAAGACTGTACAATCTCCTTCCATGGTTACTCATAAGACTGTACAATCTCCTTCCATGGTTACTCGTAAGACTGTACAATCTCCTTCCATGGTTACTCGTAAGACTGTACAATCTCCTTCCACTGTACAATCTCCTTCCATGGTTACTCGTAAGACTGTACAATCTCCTTCCATGGTTACTTGTAAGACTGTACAATCTCCTTCCATGGTTACTCGTAAGACTGTACAATCTCCTTCCATGGTAACTCGTAAGACTGTACAATCTCCTTCCATGGTTACTCGTAAGACTGTACAATCTCCTTCCATGGTTACTCGTAGACTGTACAATCTCCTTCCTTGATTACTCGTAAGACTGTACAATCTCCTTCCATGGTTACTCGTAAGACTGTACAATCTCCTCCCATGGTTACTTGTAAGTCTGTACAATCTCCTTCCATGGTTACTTGTAAGACTACAATCTCCTTCCATGGTTACTTGTAAGACTGTACAATCTCCTTCCATGGTTACTTGTAAGACTGTACAATCTCCTCCCGTGGTTACTTGTAAGACTGTACAATCTCCTTCCATGGTTACTTGTAAGACTGTGCAATCTCCTCCCATGGTTACTTGTAAGACTGCAAATCTCTTTCCATGGTTACTCGTAAGACTGTACAATCTCCTTCCATGGTTACTTGTAAGACTGTACAATCTCCTTCCATGGTTACTTGTAAGACTGTACAATCTCCTTCCATGGTTACTTGTAAGACTGTACAATCTCCTTCCATGGTTACTTGTAAGACTGTACAATCTCCCACAGTGTGATGAGCTGGTCTATACTACAGTTTTTTACCTATTAATCATTGCTTTATAACAGCAATAATAATAATGTCTTAATTTTTAGGTGAAATGGGTGGATGGAAATGGGGCAAAAAAAGGGGGGAGGGGGCAACCTAAAGTTAGCTTGCCCTTTCAATATGTGAAATGTGTGAATTATAGTATACAATCTACCTGACTAAATATATGAAATGTGTGGATTATATAGTACAATCTACCTGACTAAATATGTGAAATGTGTGGATTATATAGCACAATCTACCTGACTAAATATGTGAAACATGTGGATTATAGTACAATCTACCTGACTAAATATATGAAATTTGTGGATTATAGTACAATCTACCTGACTAAATATGTGAAATGTGTGGATTATAGTACAATCTACCTGACTAAATATATGAAATGTGTGAATTATAGTACAATCTACCTGACTAAATATGTGAAATGTGTGGATTATATAGTACAATCTACCTGACTAAATATGTGAAACATGTGGATTATAGTACAATCTACCTGACTAAATATGTGAAACATGTGGATTATAGTACAATCTACCTGACTAAATATGTGAAACATGTGGATTATAGTACAATCTACCTGACTAAATATGTGAAACATGTGGATTATAGTACAATCTACCAGACTAAATATGTTAAATGTGTGGATTATAGTACAATCTACCTGGCTAAATATGATAAATGTGTGGATTATAATACAATCTATCTGACTAAATATGTGAAACATGTGGATTATAGTACAATCTACCTGACTAAATATGTTAAATGTGTGGATTATAGTACAATCTACCTGGCTAAATATGTTAAATGTGTGGATTATATTACAACCTACCGGACTAAATGTGTATTATAGTACAATCTACCTGACTAAATATGTGAAATGTGTGGATTATAGTACAATCTACCTGACTAAATGTGTATTATAGTACAATCTACCTGACTAAATATGTGAAATGTGTGGATTATAGTACAATATACCTGACTAAATATGTGAAACATGTGGATTACAGTACAATCTACCTGACTAAATATGTGAAATTTGTGGATTATACTACAACCTACCTGACTAAATGTGTATTATAGTACAATCTACCTGACTAAATATGTGAAATGTGTGGATTATAGTACAACCTACATGACTAAATAGTTTTGCACTCTTAAGATAATAGTCTAATTGTCTGTGAGTAATCACTTGAGAAATGCTCCTGTGGTGTCAGCTAGCTGCCTCACCTGGTCCGCAGGAGGAAACACTCTTAACAATCTGTTGCTTCCCAACTGGGAAGTGTCCACACAGGGATGAAAACTTGGGTTTTCTATATGAGTGGCCCCGGCGACTGTTATAGATCAAACACAGTTACACATGATTCTGTCTCTACAGGAAATAATCATGAGAGAGATCAAAGATAGACAAGGCTGTGTTTTATCTTTAGACTGATTCTGTCTCTACAGGGAAATAATCATGAGAGAGATCAAAGATAGACAAGGCTGTGTTTTATCTTTAGACTGATTCTGTTTCTACAGGGAAATAACCATGAGAGAGATCAAAGATAGACAAGGCTGTGTTTTATCTTTAGACTGAGTCTGTCTCTACAGGGAAATAATCATGAGAGATCAAAGATAGACAAGGCTGTGTTTTATCTTTAGACTGATTCTGTTTCTACAGGGAAATAACCATGAGAGAGATCAAAGATAGACTAGGCTGTGTTTTATCTTTAGACTGAGTCTGTCTCTACAGGGAAATAACCATGAGAGAGATCAAAGATAGACAAGGCTGTGTTTTATCTTTAGACTGAGTCTGTCTCTACAGGGAAATAATCATGAGAGAGATCAAAGATAAACAAAGCTGTTTTTTATCTTTAGACTGATTCTGTTTCTACAGGGAAATAACCATGAGAGAGATCAAAGATAGACAAGGCTGTGTATTATCTTTAGACTGAGTCTGTCTCTACAGGGAAATAATCATGAGAGATCAAAGATAGACAAGGCTGTGTTTTATCTTTAGACTGATTCTGTTTCTACAGGGAAATAACCATGAGAGAGATCAAAGATAGACAAGGCTGTGTTTTATCTTTAGACTGAGTCTGTCTCTACAGGGAAATAACCATGAGAGAGATCAAAGATAGACAAGGCTGTGTTTTATCTTTAGACTGAGTCTGTCTCTACAGGGAAATAATCATGAGAGAGATCAAAGATAAACAAGGCTGTTTTTTTATCTTTAGACTGATTCTGTTTCTACAGGGAAATAACCATGAGAGAGATCAAAGATAGACAAGGCTGTGTTTTATCTTTAGACTGAGTCTGTCTCTACAGGGAAATAACCATGAGAGATCAAAGATAGACAAGGCTGTGTTTTATCTTTAGACTGAGTCTGTCTCTACAGGGAAATAATCATGAGAGATCAAAGATAGACAAGGCTGTGTTTTATCTTTAGACTGATTCTGTCTCTACAGGGAAATAATCATGAGAGAGATCAAAGATAGACAAGGCTGTGTTTTATCTTTAGACTGATTCTGTTTCTACAGGGAAATAACCATGAGAGAGATCAAAGATAGACAAGGCTGTGTTTTATCTTTAGACTGAGTCTGTCTCTACAGGGAAATAATCATGAGAGATCAAAGATAGACAAGGCTGTGTTTTATCTTTAGACTGATTCTGTTTCTACAAGGAAATAACCATGAGAGAGATCAAAGATAGACAAGGCTGTGTTTTATCTTTAGACTGATTCTGTTTCTACAGGGAAATAACCATGAGAGATCAAAGATAGACAAGGCTGTGTTTTATCTTTAGACTGAGTCTGTCTCTACAGGGAAATAATCATGAGAGATCAAAGATAGACAAGGCTGTGTTTTATCTTTAGACTGAGTCTGTCTCTACAGGGAAATAATCATGAGAGAGATCAAAGATAGACCAAGAACACCAGCTGGCATTTTCTAATATAAACAGCCTACGTTATGCAGATGAAATAGTACTAACCTCTGAAAACACATAAGACTGACAGCAAATTTTGGAAGTGTCAAAATAGAAAGAGCAAAAAAAAAAGAATTATCCTTAAATATCAAGAAGACAGAAACAATGATTATCAGAAAAAAGAAACAAATAGCAAAATGTGAAACTACAACAGAAGGCAAGGTGCTCAAGCAGGTCAACAAGTTCAAGAATCTGGAAACAACTATGACATCAGAAAAAGATTAAGAACAGGATACGCCAGGTGAAGGTGACATCACTAAGGATGAAAAATACTGTGTGCAACTGGTCTTTGCCATTAAACATTAGGAAATCAATAGTGATATCTTATGCTAATCCAGTGTTGGCATACGACTGTGTATCTTGAAATGGGAATGAATAACTTAATAATATTTTAGAGGCCTTTGAGATGTGGTTTCTGAGATGTGGTTTCTGAGATGTGGTTTCTGAGATGTATGGTGTAGATATCGTGAAGACAGTCACTAACAACCACTGCCTGGAAGCAGATTATGAAACTGAAAACTATACACAACCGTGAAAAAGAGGCAGTCAGTGTGCTTCGGTCATGGGATCAGAGGAGAGGCAGGGCAGAACATTGTGATGACTGGAAAGATCAAAGTTAGGAGAGGCAGGGCAGAACATTGTGATGACTGGAAAGATCAAAGTTAGGAGAGGCAGGGCAGAACATTGTGATGACTGGAAAGATCAAAGTTAGGAGAGGCAGGGCAGAACATTGTGATGACTGGAAAGATCAAAGTTAGGAGAGGCAGGGCAGAACATTGTGATGACTGGAAAGATCAAAGTTAGGAGAGGCAGGGCAGAACATTGTGATGACTGGAAAGATCAAAGTTAGGAGAGGCAGGGCAGAACATTGTGATGACTGGAAAGATCAAAGTTAGGAGAGGCAGGGCAGAACATTGTGATGACTGGAAAGATCAAAGTTAGGAGAGGCAGGGCAGAACATTGTGATGACTGGAAAGATCAAAGTTAGGAGAGGCAGGGCAGAACATTGTGATGACTGGAAAGATCAAAGTTAGGAGAGGCAGGGCAGAACATTGTGATGACTGGAAAGATCAAAGTTAGGAGAGGCAGGGCAGAACATTGTGATGACTGGAAAGATCAAAGTTAGGAGAGGCAGGGCAGAACATTGTGATGACTGGAAAGATCAAAGTTAGGAGAGGCAGACAAAGAGAAGTCATGCTCAGTGGTCTGAAGTGATGACACATCATCATCACCTTAGCTTTTTATATGTATATGTAAATCATCATCCATCAATCATCAATTCTCTTTATGCCTAGTGGCTCATGAGGCTTCAGAGAGGACTTTCCATGCTTTCCTGTCCTGTGCAATCTTCAGTGCAGTTTTCCATGTCAGAGATGCCGCATTCAGGTCACTCTCCATCGTTCGTCGCTTGTGGGCGCCCCTTCTTTCTCTGCCCCTCTGGTGTCCATGTGAGAGCTGTTTTGGCGGGTTTATCAGGATTCATTCTCATGACGTGGCCAAGCCATTCCATATTCTCTTGGTTATCATTCTGTCCAGAGTTTCTTGGTTTGTGACTTCAAGTAGTTGTGTTTGAGATTGTATCTGGCCAGAAAATTTTGATAATTCTACGTAGACATGTGTGGTGGAAGGTGGATAGCTTGTGTGCATCCTTTTTGGTCATTCTCCAGCATTCCGCTCCATAAAGAAGAACTGGCAAAATAATGCTCTTGTAGAGTTGAAGTTTTGTTCCTCTGCAGTACCTGTTGGATTTCCAGATTTGCCTCATTTTTCCAAAAGCAGCTCTAGCTTTGTTTAGGCGCGACTGTATGTCTTCCTCTGTCCCTCCCAGTAGGGACACCACACTACCAAGATATGTGAAATGTTCTACATTTTCAAGTGATTGGTTATTTATGGTCACTGGTTGTTGGTTTGGACTGCTTGTCATGATCTTAGTTTTCTTTGTATTTATTTACAGTCCCACCATTTCTGCTGTGCAGTTTAGTCTGTTACTTTTTTCTTGTATATGTTCATGTTTATGTGATAGGAGTGCTATTTCATCTGCAAAATCAAGGTCCTCAAGTACGGTGAATGGAGTCCATTGTATGCCTCTTAATGTCCTGTCTACTGTGTTCTTTAGTATCCAATCAATCACAAGGTTGAAGAGGAGGGACGACACAACACATCCCTGTCTTACACCCGTCTTTACTGGGAAAGACGTATTGTAATTTTTTATACTGCAGGAAAAGTCTTTATAGAAGAGAGCAATTATGTTGACTATCTTTTCTGGAATTCCATAATGTCATAATATTTTCCAAAGACTTTCTCTATGGACGCTATCAAAAGCTTTCTCAAAGTCCACAAAATTAATATATATACTTCTCTGCAATTCAATGCATTGTGTGTGTGTATGTATATATATATATATATATATATATATATATATATATATATATATATATATATATATATATATATATATATATATATATATATATATATATATATATATATATATAAATTAGGGATTTAAACAAGGCTTAGATCCCTTGATACTTCCCCAGCCTCCTAGAAAATGTGTCCGGCAGCTGGGCACTCCCTCTTCTCGATCAAGGCCACCCAATCCCCCTCCCCCAACCTCCTAGAAAAATGTGTCCGGCAGCTGGGCACCCCCTTGTCTTCTTCAAGGCTGCCCAATCCCCCTTTGTCTAATGCTGTACTTATGTGGGTGCTCCTGCCTGCCACATGTCTAAGACAGGCATACTAGCACAACTGACCTTGACCCTGTGCAGTCCCTGAGGTTCGAATCACCAAGTCTGGACTCAGCTGAATCAAGATGGGTAACGGTCGTTCCAGGGTGCTGATAAGTGTCAGTTTGCCCCAGAGCTCAGAACTGGACACCTCACCCTGTACAAACATATACAGATCAGAAATGGACATCTCACCCTGTACATATACAGATCAGAAATGTACACCTCACCTTGTACAAACATATACAGATCAGAAATGGACACCTCATTCTGTACAAACATATACAGATCAGAACTGGACACCTCACCTCGTATAAACCTATACAGATCAGAAATGGACACCTCATCCTGTACAAACATATACAGATCAGAACTGGACGCCTTACCTCACCTTGTACAAATGTTTACAGATCAGAAATGGACACCTCACCTCACCTTGTACAAACAGATACAGATCAGAAATGGACACCTCATCCTGTACAAACATATACAGATCAGAACTGGACACCTTACCTCACCTTGTACAAAGGTTTACAGATCAGAAATGGACACCTCACCTCACCTTGTACAAGCAGATACAGATCAGAAATGGACACCTCACCTCACCTTGTACAAACATATACAGATCACAACTGGACAACTCACCTCACCTTGTACAAATATATACAGATCAGAAATGAACATCTCATCCTGTACAAACATATACAGATCAGAACGCCTCACCTCACCTTGTACAAACATATAAAGATCAGAAATGGACACCTCAGTCTGTACAAACATATACAAATCAGAACTGGACACCCCACCTCACCTTGTACAAACATATACATATCAGAAATGGACACCTTGTCCTGTACAAATATAGATTAGAACTGGATACCTCACCCTGTACAAACATATAAAGATCAGAAATGGACACCTCACCCTGTACAAACATATACAGATCAGAACTGGATACCTTGTTCTGTACAAACAAAAACAGATCGGAACTGGACACCTCACCTTGTACAAACATATACAGATCAGAACTGGACACCTTGTCCTGTACAAACATTTACAGATCAGAACTGGACACCTCACCTTACCTTGTACAAACATATATACATCAGAAATGAACACCTCATCCTGTACAAACATATATAGATCAGACCTGGACACCCCATTTCACCCTGTCATCATCATCATGTGCCTTGCAGACTGGCGTGGGCGATCATGCCTCTCCATAATCTGCGATCTCCTGCAGCATGTATCAGTTCGGGTGCCTACACACCTCCATGCCATGCAACAAGACTGTCAAGCATCTTCTCTCGTTGTCTTCCTCTATCCCTTTTTTCACAGATCTTTCCAATGGTCACAACATGTTCTATTTTCCCTCTTCTCACAACATGGCTGAAAAATGATGACTGTCTCCTTCTGATGTCTGTGATAAGTTGTCTTCGGGCTCCCGCCTCTTTCAAAATCTCTTGGTTGCTCTTTTTGGCTGTCCAAGGTATTCTAAGCATTCTTCTGTAAAACCACATCTCTGAGGCCTCTAAAAATTGTTTGGCCTGCCTACCGATTGTCCAGGATTCACAGCCATATGTTAAAACTGGATGTATGTAGCAAGCAAGAATTCTTTTTCTAACTCTCAATGACAAGGATATATTGCACAAGATGTTTTTCATTTTATAAAATGCAGTTTTTGCCTGTCCAATTCTGTTTCTTATTTCAGTTATGCATCTTTCATCTGATGTTATCCATGTGCCCAGATACTTAAATTTATGTACTTGTCCTAAAATAACACCACTGACTTTTTTTACACATTTAGGAATAATTTGTTTCTTTGATACCACCATTACTTCTGTCTTCCCATTATTCAAACTGAGGCCCATTCTTCCACTTTCTAACACCACAATGTCTATCATTTCCTGTAATTCTTTCTGACTTGTTGCTATCAAGACTGTGTCATCAGCATAACGTAAATTGTTTATATTGTGCCTACCAACCACAATTCCAGGCATATCAATTAAAGATCTCATTATATATTCACTGTATATTGAAAATTTCACCCTGTACAAACATATAAAGTTTAGAACTGGATACCTCATCCTGTACAAACATATACAGATTAGAACTGGACACCCCATCCTGTACAAACATATACAGATTAGAACAGGACATCTCTGTCATGATCGGGGTAGGGGTGGAGATAGGGGCAATGTGGGACTGCTGTCAAAGCACTAAACATGTGATTGTCATGACCGGGGTAGGGGTGGAGACAGGGGCAATGTGGGACTGCTGTCAAAGCACTAAACATGTGATTGTCATGACCGGGTTAGGGGTGGAGACAGGGGTAATGTGGGACTGCTGTCAAAGCACTAAACATGTGATTGTCATGACCGGGGTAGGGGTAGAGACAGGGGCAATGTGGGACTGCAGTCAAAGCACTAAACATGTGATTGTCATGATCGGGATAGGGGTGGAGACAGGGGCAATGTGGGACTGCTGTCAAAGCACTAAACATGTGATTGTCATGACCGGGGTAGGGGTGGAGACAGGGGCAATGTGGGACTGCTGTCAAAGCACTAAACATGTGATTGTCATGACCGGGGTAGGGGTGGAGACAGGGGCAATGTGCGACTGCTGTCAAAGCACTAAACATGTGATTGTCATGACTGGGGTAGGGGTGGAGACAGGGGCAATGTGGGACTGCTGTCAAAGCACTAAACATGTGATTGTCATGATCGGGGTAGGGGTGGAGACAGGGGCAATGTGGGACTGCTGTCAAAGCACTAAACATGTGATTGTCATGACCGGGGTAGGGGTTTAGACAGGGGCAATGTGGGACTGCTGTCAAAGCACTAAACATGTGATTGTCATGATCGGGGTAGGGGTGGAGACAGGGGCAATGTGGGACTGCTGTCAAAGCACTAAACATGTGATTGTCATGACCGGGGTAGGGGTGGAGACAGGGGCAATGTGGGACTGCTGTCAAAGCACTAAACATGTGATTGTCATGATCGGGGTAGGGGTGGAGACAGGGACAATGTGGGACTGCGGTCAAAGCACTAAACATGTGATTGTCATAACTGGGGTAGGGGTGGAGACAGGGGCAATGTGGGACTGCTGTCAAAGCACTAAGCATGTGATTGTCATGATCAGGGTAGGGGTGGAGACAGGGGCAATGTGGGACTGCTGTCAAAGCACTAAACATGTGATTGTCATGACTGGGGTAGGGGTGGAGACAGGGGCAATGTGGGACTGCTGTCAAAGCACTAAACATGTGATTGTCATGATCAGGGTAGGGGTGGAGACAGGGGCAATGTGGGACTGCTGTCAAAGCACTAAACATGTGATTGTCATGACTGGGGTAGGGGTGGAGACAGGGGCAATGTGGGACTGCTGTCAAAGCACTAAACATGTGATTGTCATGATCGGGGTAGGGGTGGAAACAGGGGCAATGTGGGACTGCTGTCAAAGCACTAAACATGTGATTGTCATGATGTGGGCACGGGCCACAGAGGCCACGTAAATTACCTGAAGTAAGGAAAAGTGAGCTCGGGTTATGAACCCACTGGACACCTCAACTCACCATGTACAAACATTTAGAGATCAGAACTGGGCACCTCACCCTGTACAAGCATACAGAGATCTCTTAGAGCAGACATACTTCAGGAGATCATCATCACCATGTAGCAGGTCCGTTGCAGAACTCATCACGGTCTACCTGAAAGAAACTCTGACTCTCGCCAGTTCTCCCGCCTGATGAACTTTCACACTCAAGGAGTCACTTATATCCTGTGCCCATCTTCATGTTGGTCAGCCTCTGCCCATTCTTCTTGGTACCATGCCTTCTGCTATACTTTTTCCCAATCTGTCGTGGTGCTTGATATGACCAAAATATTTCAGCTTCCGAGACAGGATACTGTTTATTAGCCAATCTTCCTTGATGTTCAGATCTTTCAAGATATCAGTATTTCTCCTCTTCTTTGTCCAAGATATTCTGAGAATCTTTCTATAGCATTTCAGCTCAAAAGCCCCTATTCCCTTTCTTAAGGACTGAGAGATAGTCCACGACTCACATCCGTATGTTGATACAGGGAAGATGCTCGCTCGCAAAATTCTAATATTGATCTCCTTGCTGGTGCTTAACCATAGACTTTTAAGGCCGTATAATCTTTGCACTGCTATGGCCATCCTCCTTTTAATTTCTGTCAGTCTCCATTGCTATTTTTTATAGGGCCTAGATGTTCAAAGTTTGTGATACTTTCAATTTATTCATCATGTATTGTTATTTTTGGGTGGCAGTCAGTTTTATCTGTGGACATTATTTTCATTTTCTTTAAATTCATGAACAGATTTTGATCTTCACTGTGCTTTTTGGACAGACAATATTAAATTTTCGATTCCCTTTACACTGTTCGAAAAGAGGTCTGTGTCATTTGCGTAGCGAAGCTCCAGAATAGGGTTGCCACCAATTTTAAGCGGATCATAACTGTCAGTCTGGTCATTTTTGACATTTCTCATTATGTTTTCTGCGTATATATTGAATAGGTATGGTGAGAGATACTTCAGGAGATACAACACACAATGTTACAATACAAGTAACATACCAGCAACAGTGTATACACACACACACACAATGTAATAACAGCAGACCACTCACATGTGGGCCCAAGACGGCAGACAAGCCCTCCACGATGTTGAGATAAACCGAGTTTGGAGACTTGTGCTTGCTCTGTTGACAGGGACAACAATCTCATCAGGTATGCTGTCAGGATGAACACAACATGATATGGACATGTACAAACTGATAGGGACAGACTGAGGTGGACATAGTCTGACGTGGATGGACTGACATGGACAGACCGAGATGGATGGACAGACTGAGGTGGACTGAGTGACACAGTAAGACTGACATAGATAGATTGACACAGACAGACTGACATGGATAGATTGACACAGACAGACTGACATGGATAGACTGAGTTGGACAGACTGATACAGACAGACTGACATGGAAAGACTAAGGTGTACAGACCTAAACAGACACATGGATAGACTGAGTTGGACAGACTGATACAGACTGACATGGAAAGACTAAGGTGTACAGACCTATACAGACACATGGATAGACTGAGTTGGACAGACTGATACAGACTGACATGGATAGACTGAGGTGTACAGACTGATACAGACACATGGACAGACTGATACAGACAGACTGACATGGATAGACTGAGGTGTACAGACTGATACAGACACATGGATAGACTGAGTTGGACAGACTGATACAGACAGACAGGGATAGATTCAGGTGGACAGACTGATTCAGACTGAGGTGGACAGACTGATACAGACAGACTGAGGTTGTCAGACTAAAATGGACAGGCTGAGGTAGAAATTGATACAGACAGACTGACATGGATAGACTGATACAGACAGATTGACATGGATAGACTGAGGTATACAGATTTACATGGATAGACTGATACAGACAGACTGACATGGATAGACTGATACAGACAGACTGACATGGATAGACTGAGGTAGACAGACTGATACAGACTGACTAACATGGACAGACTGATACAGACAGACTGACATGGACAGATGCAGGGGCCCACAGTTACTGTGTTGGGTGGAGAGTGTGAACACAGGTCCTGATGGATGTAAGAGAGGAAGAACAACAACAAACAACCAGTGTCCAGCTGGCTAACCATCAGTATCTGACAACATTTGCTGCAGAAGAAACAGAAGCTATGGGTGGGCCTGTTGTGCTGCTGTGTGGATTCTGACAACATTTGCTGCAGAAGATACAGCAGCTATGGGTGGGCCTGTTGTGCTACTGTGTGGATTCTTACAGTACTATCCAATGTGAGATGGTGAACAGTCGTGCCAGCCTCAGACCCTAAAGTGTGAGGCAGAGCTCATCTTCCCTGCTCCAGACCTGAAACCAGTCTGTCAGGGATTAGACCCCAGTTTGCAGTGTTGACCCTCCCAATTTTGGGTGTGACAGTATTGTGAATGCAATGGTGAATGACTACTCATAACATTGCTTAGGACAAACTATCCACAGACATTTCAGCTTTCTGAGTGTCAACAAGTCACTGCCCAGCGAGGAAACCTCTGCAGTGATGAACACTTAGGGAAGACACACAGACCAGCACCTGAGATGATCCGCTGTGTGCCCGTGACTTGTCAGCGGTGTAAATCCCAAACTGTGGACACAATAAAACAAAACATTTGATTGCATCAATAGAATCTCTCCACTAGCTATCATTTCAATAGTTTCTGGCTCATGTTTGGATGAAAGTACATGTACACACATACTCTGTTTCTGTCTGACATATCTCCCTTCATGACAGGCAGTCCACTACAGTCCCATTCATAACAAGCCAACTACTGACATGTCTCCTTTTATGATAGGGGACTACTGATATATCTCTCTTCATAACAGGCAGTCCACTACCATCTCCTTCATAACAAGGGGACTAATGACATATCTTTCTTCCCTTTCAGTGTTTCAGTTACACAGGGAACAGATCTACAGACATGACACTGCTGGATTGTCAGTTACAGTGGGAACAGATCTACAGACATGGCACAGCTGGATTGTCAGTTACACTGGGAGCACATCTACAGACATAGCACTGCTGGATTGTCAGTTACAGTGGGAACACATTTACAGACATGACACTGCTGGATTGTCAGTTAGAGTGGGAACAGATCTACAGACATGGCACTGCTGGATTGTCAGTTACAGTGGGAACAGATCTACAAACATGGCACTGCTGGATTGTCAGTTACACTGGGAACAGATCTACAGACATGGCACTGCTGGATTGTCTGTTACAGTGGGAACAGATCTACAGACATGGCACTGCTGGATTGTCAGTTATAGTGGGAACAGATCTACAGACATGGCACTGCTGGATTGTCAGTTACACTGGGAACAGATCTACAGACATGGCACTGCTGGATTGTCAGTTACACTGGGAACAGATCTACAGACATAGCACTGCTGGATTGTCAGTTACAGTGGGAACAGATCTACAGACATGGCACTGCTGGATTGTCAGTTACAGCAGGAACAGATCTACAGACATGGCACTGCTGGATTGTCAGTTACACTGGGAACAGATCTACAGACATGGCACTGCTGGATTGTCAGTTATAGTGGGACATATCTACAGACATGGCACTGCTGGATTGTCAGTTACACTGGGAACACATCTACAGACATGGCACTGCTGGATTGTCAGTTATAGTGGGACATATCTACAGACATGGCACTGCTGGATTGTCAGTTACAGTGGGAACAGATCTACAGACATGGCACTGCTGAATTGTCAGTTACACTGGGAACAGATCTACATAAATGGCACTGCTGGATTGTCAGTTACAGTGGGAACAGATCTACATAAATGGCACTGCTGGATTGTCAGTTACAGTGGGAACAGATCTACAGACATGGCACTGCTGGATTGTCAGTTACACTGGGAACAGATCTACAGACATGGCACTGCTGGATTGTCAGTTACAGCAGGAACAGATCTACAGACATGGCACTGCTGGATTGTCAGTTACAGTGGGAACAGATCTACAGACATGGCACTGCTGGATTGTTAGTTAAAGTGGGAACAGATCTACAGACATGGCACTGCTGGATTGTCATTTACAGTGGGAGCACATCTACAGACATGGCACTGCTGGACTGTCAGTTACACTGGGAACAGATCTACAGACATAGCACTGCTGGATTGTCAGTTACACTGGGAACACATCTACAGACATAGCACTGCTGGATTGGCTGTTACAGTGGGAACAGATCTACAGACATGGCACTGCTGGACTGTCAGTTACACTGGGAACAGATCTACAGACATAGCACTGCTGGATTGTCAGTTACACTGGGAACACATCTACAGACATAGCACTGCTGGATTGGCTGTTACAGTGGGAACAGATCTACAGACATGGCACTGCTGAATTGTCTGTTACAGTGGGAACAGATCTACAGACATGGCACTGCTGGATTGTCTGTTACAGTGGGAACAGATCTACAGACATAGCACTGCTGGATTGTCAGTTACAGCAGGAACAGATCTACAGACATGGCACTGCTGGATTGTCAGTTACACTGGGAACAGATCTACAGACATGGCACTGCTGGATTGTCAGTTACACTGGGAACACATCTACAGACATAGCACTGCTGGATTGTCAGTTACAGTGGGAACACATTTACAGACATGACACTGCTGGATTGTCAGTTACAGTTGGAACAGATCTACAGACATGGCACAGCTGGATTGTCAGTTACAGTGGGAACAGATCTACAGACATGGCACTGCTGGATTGTTAGTTAAAGTGGGAACAGATCTACAGACATGGCACTGCTGGATTGTCAGTTACACTGGGAACAGATCTACAGACATGGCACTGCTGGATTGTCAGTTACAGCAGGAACAGATCTACAGACATGGCACTGCTGGATTGTCAGTTACAGTGGGAACAGATCTACAGACATAGCACTGCTGGATTGTCAGTTACAGTGGGAACACATTTACAGACATGACACTGCTGGATTGTCAGTTAGAGTGGGAACAGATCCACAGACATGGCACAGCTGGATTGTCAGTTACAGTGGGAACAGATCTACAGACATGGCACTGCTGGATTGTTAGTTAAAGTGGGAACAGATCTACAGACATAGCACTGCTGGATTGTCATTTACAGTGGGAGCACATCTACAGACATGGCACTGCTGGACTGTCAGTTACACTGGGAACAGATCTACAGACATAGTACTGCTGGATTGTCAGTTACACTGGGAACACATCTACAGACATAGCACTGCTGGATTGTCTGTTACAGTGGGAACAGATCTACAGACATGGCACTGCTGAATTGTCTGTTACAGTGGGAACAGATCTACAGACATGGCACTGATGGATTGTCTGTTTTAGTGGGAACAGATCTACAGACATGGCACTGCTGGATTGTCTGTTACAGTGGGAACAGATCTACAAACATGGCACTGCTGGATTGTCAGTTACACTGGGAACAGATCTACAGACATGGCACTGCTGGATTGTCAGTTACAGTGGGAACAGATCTACAGACATGGCACTGATGGATTGTCTGTTACAGTGGGAACAGATCTACAGACATGGCACTGATGGATTGTCTGTTACAGTGGGAACAGATCTACAGACATGGCACTGATGGATTGTCTGTTTTAGTGGGAACAGATCTACAGACATAGCACTGCTGGATTGTCTGTTACAGTGGGAACAGATCTACAAACATGGCACTGCTGAATTGTCTGTTACAGTGGGAACAGATCTACAGACATGGCACTGATGGATTGTCTGTTTTAGTGGGAACAGATCTACAGACATGGCACTGCTGGATTGTCAGTTACAGCAGGAACAGATCTACAAACATGGCACTGCTGGATTATCAGTTACAGTGGGAACAGATCTACAGACATGGCACTGCTGGACTGTCTGTTACAGTGGGAACAGATCGACAGACATGGCACTGTTGGACTGTCAGTTACACTGGGAACAGATCTACAGACATGGCACTGCTGGATTGTCAGTTAAGGTGGTCAGTGTAGACATTCACACAACACTAATGGTCAATGTAATCATTCACACAACACTAGTGGTCAGTGTAATCATTCACACAACACTAGTGGTCAATGTAATAACACACTGGTGGTATGTGTAAGCATGCACATATCAAAAGGTAATGGTGACATTCACCTAAAAAAAAACTGTCTTCTTCTTCTTCTTCAGTCCTTCTGTCAGAAAACTTATATCAGGAGGCCGGTAGCCTTTATGAAAGCTATCGTGCAATCCATATCCTCTCGTGTACCATACAGTTTTGTCTCCATTGTGGTTGGAACAGGCCAGAGTGCGTCTCTGTTGTCAGCATACAGTTGACAGTGTTGGAGCACATGCACAGCATTTACGGGAGCCACGCTGCAGGGACACGTCTCCGTATTTCCTACACCAGAAAATTTGAACATTTGTTGACGAAATCTGTTGTGCCCAGTCCTTAGTCTGAATATAATACACTGTCCCTCTCTAGAGAGGCGATGAAGTGAGTCTTGGGGAGAAAATCTGGTGTGGGTATCCAGCCACCTTTTTTGGATACTAGATTGTATTATTGTTTTCATCTCTTGGTGGGTTAAGTCGCTATTTGGTTATACCATGTCAGTGCCGCTTCTGGTCAATCTGTCCGCTATTTCATTGCCTTCCAAGCCACAGTGACCTGGAATCCACTGCAGTACAGATTGTTCTACTAAAGAGTCTAAGTAAATCAGCTGTTGCGTCAAGTCTACAAAGTGAGCGTCTTTTGGGTTAATAATTGCTTGTAGAACTGACATAGCATCAGTCAGAAAGACCACTCTGCTATATTTGCTGTGCTGTTGTCCATTCAGGAAAGAACATGCCGCTAGAAGTGCTTCTGCCTCTGCTCTGTAATTGGAGGAATATGAACCTGTTGGTACAGCCTGGTTGATTTTTACACCATTTGGGCATTCTATGTATATTCCTACTCCTCCGTCTCTTACTGCTCTCTTGGCTGAACAATCTGTATACACTCGAATCCAACTCTGGTGTGGATAAAGTCTATTGATCTCTTCTTCTGTAGTTGATTTCATATCAGTGCTGCTCATTGAGGATTTGGAAGAGATCACTATTACAGTGGTTCTGACTGTTGGTAGGCTATCCCTAAGCCAAGGGAGCCAGTCGTTGTAAGGTTTAAGTGGAACATTTGGTATTATGGGAGGGAGTTTAAGGACAGCGAGCTTGTCATTTGCGTTCTTAATAAAACAGGTTCTCTTTAGTCTAGCCTTCTGGGGTTTCTGCAGTCGGCTGTGCATGGTTTGTTCTTTAAAGTGGTGGTATTTGGAGAGCTGGGTGAGGAGCTTTGTGTCTCTCCTATCTTTCAGATCATGGAGACCAAGTAAATCTGATACTGTAAGTGTAGAGACTGATCGTACAAAGTAAACCCTTTCACTGACAACCATTCTCTAAGAAAGAAAAGTCCACCCTTTCACTGACAACCATTATCTGTGAAAGAAATATCCACCCTTTTACTGACAATCGTTCTCTGTGAGAGAAATGTTCACCCTTTCACTGACAATCATTCTCTATGTGAGAAATGTTCACCCTTTCACTGACAACCATTCTCTATGAGAGAAATGTTCACTGTTTCACTGACAACCATTCTCTATGAGAGAAATGTCCACTGTTTCACTGACAACCATTCTCTATGAGAGAAATGTTCACCCTTTCACTGACAACCATTCTCTATGAGAGAAATGTTCACTCTTTCACTGACAACCATTCTCTATGAGAGAAATGTTCACTGTTTCACTGACAACCATTCTCAATGAGAGAAATGTTAACTGTTTCACTGACAACCATTCTCTATGAGAGAAATGTTCACTGTTTCACTGACAACCATTTATGAGAGAAATGTTTATTGTTTCACTGACAACCATTCTCTATGAGAGAAATGTTCACTGATTCGCTGACAACCATTCTCTATGAGAGAAATTTTCACCCTTTCACTGACAACCATTCTCTATGAGAGAAATGTCCACCCTTTCACTGACAACCATTCTCTATGAGAGAAATGTCCACCCTTTCCCTGACAACCATTCTCTATGAGAGAAATATTCGCTGTTTCACTGACAACCATTCTCTATGAGAGAAATGTTCACCTTTTCACTGACAACCATTCTCTATGAGAGAAATGTTCACTGTTTCACTGACAACCATTCTTTATGAGAAAAATGTTCACTGTTTCACTGACAACCATTCTCTATGAGAGAAATGTCCACCCTTTCACTGACAACCATTCTCTATGAGAGAAATGTTCACTGTTTCACTGACAACCATTCTCTATGAGAGAAATGTTCACTGTTTCACTGACTACCATTCTCTGTGAGAGAAATGTCCACCCTTTCACTGACAACCATTCTCTATGAGAGAAATGTTCACTGTTTCACTGACAACCATTCTCTATGAGAGAAATGTTCACCATTTCACTGACAACCATTCTCTATAAGAGAAATGTTCACTGTTTCACTGACAGCCATTCTCTATGAGAGAAATGTTTACCCTTTCACTGACAACCATTCTCTATGAGAGAAATGTTTACCCTTTCACTGACAACCATTCTCTAGGAGAGAAATGTTCACTGTTTCACTGACAACCATTCTCTATGAGAGAAATGTCCACCATTTCACTGACAACCATTTTCTATGAAAGAAATGTATACCCTTTCACTGACATCCATTCTCTATGAGATAAATATTCACCCTTTCACTGACAACCATTCTCTATGAGAGAAATGTTCACTGTTTCACTGACAACCATTCTCTATGAGAGAAATGTTCACTGTTTCACTGACAACCATTCTCTATGAGAGAAATGTTCACTGTTTCACTGACAACCATTCTCAATGAGAGAAATGTTCACTGTTTCACTGACAACCATTCTCTATGAGAGAAATGTTCACCCTTTCACTGACAACCATTCTCTATGAGAGAAATGTTCACCGTTTCACTGACAACCATTCTCTATGAGAGAAATGTTCACTGTTTCACTGACAACCATTCTCTGTGAGAGAAATGTTTACCCTTTCACTAACAACCATTCTCTATGAGAGAAATGTCCACCCTTTCACTGACTACCATTCTCTGTGAGAGAAATGTCCACCCTTTCACTGACAACCATTCTCTATGAGAGAAATATTCACTGTTTCACTGACAACCATTCTCAATGAGAGAAATGTTCACTGTTTCACTGACAACCATTCTCTATGAGAGAAATGTTCACCCTTTCACTGACAACCATTCTCTATGAGAGAAATGTTCACTGTTTCACTGACAACCATTCTCTATGAGAGAAATGTTCACTGTTTCACTGACAACCATTCTCTATGAGAAAGTTGTCCACTGTTTCACTGACAACAATTTTCTGTGAGAAAGTTAAAAGGCAACTCACAAACCGTGAAGCTATCTCATCCTGTGGAACAATTTTTGGTCGAATGGGTTCAAAGGTGAGATTAGCTTTCATGTCTGCATAGGAGGAGACAACACTGTAGCCAGCATTCTGGGAGAAAACATAAGTGACATTATTGTGACAGAGCAACAATTTGTCTCAGTTAGTATAAACAAAACCACAACTCAGGTTTTATCCCCTGAACATAGTGACATTATAGTGACTGAGCAACACTTTGTCTCAGTTAGTATAAACAAAACCACAGCTCATGTTTTATCCCCTGAACATAGTGACATTATGGTGACAGAGCAACACTTTGTCTCAGTTAGTATAAACAAAACCACAACTTAGGTATTGTCCCCTAAACATAGTGACATTATGGTGACAGAGCAACACTTTGTCTCAGTTAGTATAAACAAAAACACAGCTCATGTATTATTCCCTGAACATAGTGACATTATAGTGACTGAGCAACACTTTGTCTCAGTTAGTATAAACAAAACTACAACTCAGGTTTTATCCCCTGAACATAGTGACATTATGGTGACAGAGCAACACTTTGTCTCAGTTAGTATAAACAAAACCACAACTCAGGTATTGTCCCCTAAACATAGTGACATTATGGTGACAGAGCAACACTTTGTCTCAGTTAGTATAAACAAAAACACGGCTCATGTATTATCCCCTGAACATAGTGACATTTTAGTGACTGAGCAACACTTTGTCTCAGTTAGTATAAACAAAAACACAGCTCAGGTATTATCACCCGGAACATACAGAGAGGTAACTAGACACTGCACACTGTTAACTGTGAGATATCACAGCTCCAGTGTTAACTTTGAGATATCTCAGCCCCAGTGTTAATTGTAAGATATCTCAGCTCCAGTGTTAACTGTGAGATATCTCAGCCCCAGTGTTAATTGTGAGATAGCTCCAGTATTAACTGTGAGATATCTCAGCCCCAGTGTTAATTGTGAGATATCACAGCTCCAGTGTTAACTGTGTGACATCTCAGCCCCAGTTCTAACAGTGAGATATCTCAGCTCCAGTGTTAATTGTGAGATATCCCAGCTCCAGTGTTAATTGTGTGATATCCCAGCTTCAGTGTTAACTGAGATTTCCCAGCTCCAGTGTTAACTGTGAGATATCACAGCTCCAGTGTTAACTATGTGACATCTCAGCCCCAGTGTTAACAGTGAGATATCTCAGCCCCAGTGTTAATTGTAAGATATCTCAGCTCCAGTGTTAACTGTGAGATATCTCAGCCCCAGTGTTAATTGTGAGATAGCTCCAGTATTAACTGTGAGATATCTCAGCCCCAGTGTTAATTGTGAGATATCACAGCTCCAGTGTTAACTGTGTGACATCTCAGCCCCAGTTCTAACAGTGAGATATCTCAGCTCCAGTGTTAATTGTGAGATATCCCAGCTCCAGTGTTAATTGTGTGATATCCCAGCTTCAATGTTAACTGAGATTTCCCAGCTCCAGTGTTAACTGTGAGATATCACAGCTCCAGTGTTAACTATGTGACATCTCAGCCCCAGTGTTAACAGTGAGATATCTCAGCTCCAGTGTTAATTGTGTGATATCAAAGCTTCAGTGTTAACTGAGATATCCCAGCTTCAGTGTTAGCAAATATTTTAATTATAACTAAAATAGAAATACATATTGTTTCAAACTAACTGATGAAACATAAATTGCAGTATAATCTCTGTGTGTTTGTGTGTACTAGAAACTTTCATGAAATCAAACCACACAAAAGTAAACATGAGCAAATGACTGACCTGTGAACAACTGATGCAACATGTGATAACACTGTTTCAGAATCAGAGAGATAAATACACAAATTGACAAACTCACTGACCAGCATCTTGTCCAAGAGTTCAAACACCAGCATTCTGTTGACAGCCACATATGGCTCATTGACAGTTCCAATACAGTCTTTGAGGACATCATGTAACCTGCAACAGAACCATATGGCTGATTGACAGTTCCAATACAATCTTTGAGGACATCATGTAACTTACAACAGAACTATTTGGCTCATTGACAGTTCCAATACAATCTTTGAGGACATCATGTAACCTACAACAGAACTATATGGCTCACTGACAGTTCCAATACAATCTTTGAGGACATCATGTAACCTACAACAGAACCATATGGCTCATTGACAGTTCCAATAGAATCTTTGAGGACATCATGTAACCTCCAACAGAACCATACCGCTCATTGACAGTTCCAATACAATCTTTGAGGACATCATGTAACCTCCAACAGAACCATACCGCTCATTGACAGTTCCAATAGAATCTTCGAGGACATCATGTAACCTCCAACAGAACCATATGGCTTATTGACAGTTCCAATACAATCTTTGAGGACATCATGTAACCTCCAACAGAACCATATGGCTCACTGACAGTTCCAATAGAATCTTTGAGGACATCATGTAACCTCCAACAGAACCATATGGCTCATTGACAGTTCCAATACAATCTTTGAGGACATCATGTAACTAAAATAGAACTTTATAGCTCATTGACAGTTCCAATACAATCTTTGAGGACATCATGTAACTAAAATAGAACTTTATAGCTCATTGACAGTTCCAATACAATCTTTGAGGACATCATGTAACTAAAATAGAACTTTATAGCTCATTGACAGTTCCAATACAATCTTTGAGGACATCATGTAACTAAAATAGAACTTTATAGCTCATTGACAGTTCCAATACAATCTTTGAGGACATCATGTAACTAAAATAGAACTTTATAGCTCATTGACAGTTCCAATACAATCTTTGAGGACATCATGTAACCTCATGTGTTGGAAGGATTTTGACATTTGCTGATGTTGCTCTTGCATATAGATGGGAGTGATAGGCAACAGATAGCCCCAAAAAGGCAGCCTTTTTATGGTGCTTTCTTGACAACAGAATTGTTAGAGCTAATGTTCCAGGCCTCACAGTTAATGACAGAAACAATAAAAGAGAAAGCAAACTGAGGTAACCAGGTATCATTTTTGATTGAAGATAGTCATTCAGAGATCATATGGAGGCAGTTGCGGTAAAATGCCAAAAAAGGGACTCAATGATATGAAGCTGATTCTTAATTCAACATTCAACAGAAAAATAATCGTTGATACTTCCAATACAATCTTTGAGGACTGTATAACCTACAACATAAACATATTTGTTGACAGTTCCAATACAATCTTTGAGGACACTGCATAACCTACAACAGAAACATACTCGTTGACAGTTCCAATACAGTCTTTGAGGACACTGTATAACCCACAACAGAAACATACTCGTTGACAGTTCCAATACAGTCTTTGAGGACACTGTATAACCCACAACATAAATAGAGATGTTGCCATTCCAATACAATCTTTGAGGACATTGTTTAACCTACAACAGAAACATAAGGCTGGCTGACAGTTTCGATACAATCTTTGGGGACATTATATAACCTACAACACAAACATACTTGTTGACAGTTCCAATACAAGCTTTGAGGACACTATTACAACAGAATCATAAGGCTAGCTGACAGTTCCAATACAATCTTTGAGGACATTGTTTAACCTACAACAGAAACATACTTGTTGACAGTTCCAATACAATCTTTGAGGACACTGTATTACAACAGAATCATAAGGCTAGCTGACAGGTCCAATACAATCTTTGAGGACATTGTTTAACCTACAACACAAACATACTTGTTGACAGTTCCAATACAATCTTTGAGGACATTGTATAACCTACAACAGAATCATAAGGCTGGCTGACAGTTCCAATACAATCTTTGAGGACATTGTATAACCTACAACAGAAACATAAGGCTGGCTGACAGTTCCAATACAATCTTTGAGGACATTGTATAACCTACAACAGAAACATAAGGCTAGCTGACAGTTCCAATACAATCTTTGAGGACATTGTTTAACCTACAACACAAACATACTTGTTGACAGTTCCAATGAAATGTTTGAGGACACTGTATTACAACAGAATCATAAGGCTAGCTGACAGTTCCAATACAATCTTTGAGGACATTGTATAACTTACAACAGAATCATATAGCTGCCTGACAGTTCCAATACAATCTTTGAGGACATTGTTTAACCTACAACACAAACATACTTGTTGACAGTTCCAATACAATCTTTGAGGACACTGTATAACCTACAACATAAACATATAGCTGGCTGACAGTTCCAATACAATCTTTGAGGACATTGTTTAACCTACAACACAAACATACTTGTTGACAGTTCCAATACAATCTTTGAGGACATTGTATAACCTACAACAGAATCTTAAGGCTGGCTGACAGTTCCAATACAATCTTTGAGGACATTGTTTAACCTTCAAGACAAACATACTTGTTGACAGTTCCAATACAATCTTTGAGGACACTGTATAACCTACAACAGAAACATATAGCTGGCTGATAGTTTAAATACAATCTTTGAGGACATTGTTTAACCTACAACACAAACATACTAGTTGACAGTTACAATACAAACTTTGAGGACACTGTAATACAACAGAATCATAAGGTTAGCTGACAGTTCCTATACAATCTTCAAAAATATTTGTACAATCGTACACAGAAATAGATTCATGGAGCTTACACGTGGAAAATGATCAAATGTCTACATACTTATAGCTGCAGTAGCTGACCCATCAATAATCCAGGTGAGTCATGAATGAGTCAGCTGGCAAGTCATGAATGAGTCAGCTGGCAAGTCATGCATGTAGGTAAATGAACAAACTGCATTTTATAAAAGTTCAGAGCTGGAAGAGCAGGTTTATATGACACTGTGCCCTTTGTTTAAACAGTCATGTTAACATGAAATATCAGACAGATCAAAGCCACTTCTATTAGAGACAGGTAGCCCAGCATACCTGTGGAGAAAATCTAGATAAACCACAACAGAGATCGCAGTGTCTGTGTCCGGCGCTGGGTGAGCTGCCACCAAGTAGACATCACTCTTGCTCAAGTAGAAGAAGTCAATGTTTTCATCTCTCTGCAACATCAAACAACACAGTGCTGTAGGTAGACAGCTTTCACAAACAATCACAGCATACTGTAGGTAGACAGCTTTCACAAACAATCACAGCACACTGTAGGTAGACAGCTTTCACAAACAATCACAGCACACTGTCGGTAGACAGCTTTCACAAACAATCACAGCATAATGTAGGTAGACAGCTTTCATAAACAATCACAGCATAATGTAGGTAGACAGCTTTCACAAGCAATCACAGCATACTGTAGGTAGACAGCTTTCACAAACAATCACAGCACACTGTAGGTAGACAGCTTTCACAAACAATCACAGCACACTGTAGGTAGACAGCTTTCACAAACAATCACAGCACACTGTAGGTAGACAGCTTTCACAAACAATCACAGCACACTGTAGGTAGACAGCTTTCACAAACAATCACAGCATAATGTAGGTAGACAGCTTTCACAAACAATCACAGCATAATGTAGGTAGACAGCTTTCACAAACAATCACAGCACACTGTAGATAGACAGCTTTCACAAACAATCACAGCACACTGTAGGTAGACAGCTTTCACAAACAATCACAGCACACTGTAGATAGACAGCTTTCACAAACAATCACAGCACACTGTAGGTAGACAGCTTTCACAAACAATCACAGCATAATGTAGGTAGACCGCTTTCACAAACAATCACAGCACACTGTAGGTAGACAGCTTTCACAAACAATCACAGCATAATGTAGGTAGACCGCTTTCACAAACAATCACAGCACACTGTAGATAGACAGCTTTCACAAACAATCACAGCACACTGTAGATAGACAGCTTTCACAAACAATCACAGCACACTGTAGATAGACAGCTTTCACAAACAATCACAGCACACTGTAGATAGACAGCTTTCACAAACAATCACAGCACACTGTAGGTAGACAGCTTTCACAAACAATCACAGCATAATGTAGGTAGACCGCTTTCACAAACAATCACAGCACACTGTAGGTAGTTAGCTTTCACAAACAATCACAGCACACTGTAGGTAGACAGCTTCCACAAACAATCACAGCATAATGTAGGTAGACAGCTTTCACAAACAATCACAGCACACTGTAGGTAGACAGCTTTCACAAACAATCACAGCACACTGTAGGTAGACAGCTTTCACATACAATCACAGCATACTGTAGGTAGACAGCTTTCACAAACAATCACAGCACACTGTAGGTAGACAGCTTTCACAAACAATCACAGCACACTGTCAGTAGACAGCTTTCACAAACAATCAAGCACACTGTAGGTAGACAGCTTTCACAAACAATCAAGCACACTGTAGGTAGACAGCTTTCACAAACAATCACAGCACACTGTAGGTAGACAGCTTTCACAAACAATCACAGCACACTGTAGGTAGACAGCTTTCACAAACAATCACAGCACACTGTAGGTAGACAGCTTTCACAAACAATCACAGCATAATGTAGGTAGACAGCTTTCACAAACAATCACAGCATAATGTAGGTAGACAGCTTTCACAAACAATCACAGCACACTGTAGATAGACAGCTTTCACAAACAATCACAGCACACTGTAGGTAGACAGCTTTCACAAACAATCACAGCACACTGTAGGTAGACAGCTTTCACATACAATCACATCATACTGTAGGTAGACAGCTTTCACAAACAATCACAGCACACTGTCGGTAGACAGCTTTCACAAACAATCAAGCACACTGTAGGTAGACAGCTTTCACAAACAATCAAGCACACTGTAGGTAGACAGCTTTCACAAACAATCACAGCATAATGTAGGTAGACAGCTTTCACAAACAATCACAGCATAATGTAGGTAGACAGCTTTCACAAACAATCACAGCATACTGTAGGTAGACAGCTTTCACAAACAATCACAGCACACTGTAGGTAGACAGCTTTCACAATCAATCACAGCATACTGTAGGTAGACAGCTTTCACAAACAATCACAGCACACTGTAGGTAGACAGCTTTCACAATCAATCACAGCATACTGTAGGTAGACAGCTTTCACAAACAATCAAGCACACTGTAGGTAGACAGCTTTCACAAACAATCACAGCACACTGTAGGTAGACAGCTTTTACAAACAATTACAGCATAATGTAGGTAGACAGCTTTCACAAACAATCACAGCACACTGTAGGTAGACAGCTTTCACAAACAATCACAGCATACTGTAGGTAGACAGCTTTCACAAACAATCAAGCACACTGTAGGTAGACAGCTTTCACAAACAATCACAGCACACTGTAGGTAGACAGCTTTTACAAACAATTACAGCATAATGTAGGTAGACAGCTTTCACAAACAATCACAGCACACTGTAGGTAGACAGCTTTCACAAACAATCACAGCACACTGTAGGTAGACAGCTTTTACAAACAATTACAGCATAATGTAGGTAGACAGTTTTCACAAACAATCACAGCATAATGTAGGTAGACAGCTTTCACAAACAATCACAGCATAATGTAGGTAGACAGCTTTCACAATCAAGCACACTGTAGGTAGACAGCTTTCACAAACAATCACAGCACACTGTAGGTAGACAGCTTTTACAAACAATTACAGCATAATGTAGGTAGACAGCTTTCACAAACAATCACAGCATAATGTAGGTAGACAGCTTTCACAATCACAGCATAATGTAGGTAGACAGCTTTCACAAACAATCACAGTATCACAGCATACAGCAGATAGACATCTTTCACAAACAGTCACAGCATAATGTAGGTAGACAGCTTTCACAATCACAGCATACTGTAGGTAGACAGCTTTCACAAACAATCACAGCATAATGTAGGTAGACAGTTTTCACAAACAGTCACAGCTTAATGTAGGTAGACAGCTTTCACAAACAATCACAGCACACTGTAGGCAGACAGCTTTCACAAACAATCACAGCATAATGTAGATAAACAGCTTTCACAAACAATCACAGCATAATGTAGATAAACAGCTTTCACAAACAATCACAGCACATGTTTCATGTTTTTACTGACTAATGTAGACATGGGATCTAGGTATCTTTCAGTGTCTGAATGTAGTGATTCTGTTTGGGACAGAAATGGATCCTGTCTTAATGTAGTGATTCTGTTTGGGACAGAAATGGATCCTGTCTGAATAGTTATTCTGTATGAGCAAGAAATGGATCCTGTCTTAATGTAGTGATTCTGTTTGGGACAGAAATGGATCCTGTCTGAATATAGTAATTTTGATTGAGCAAGAAATAGATCCTAACTGATTAAAGTAATGGATCCTGTATGAGCAAGAAATGGATCCTGTTTGAAGGTAGCATTTGTGTGAGCAAGTAATTGATCCTGTCTGAAAGTAGCAATTTTGTTTGAGTAAAATATAGACCCTGTCTGAATGCAGTGATTAGGTTTGAGCAAGAAATGGATCCTGTCTGAATGCAGTGATTATGTTTGAGCAAAAAATCAATCCTGTCTGAATGCAGTGATTATGTTTGAGCAAAAAATCGATCCTGTCTGAATGAGTGATTATGTTTGAGCAAAAAATCGATCCTGTCTGAATGCAGTAAGTCTGAGCAAGAAATAGATCCTGTTTGAATGTAGTAAGTCTATTTTACCTAAAAATGGATCCTGTCTGAAGGCAGTGATTCTGTTAGAGCAAAAAATCAATCCTGTCTAAAGGTAGTAATTTTGTATGAGCAAGAAATGGATCCTGTCTAAATGCAGTGATTCTGTTTGAGCAAGAAATGGATCCTGTTTGAGCAAGAAATGGATCCTGTCTAAATGTAGTGATTCTGTGAGAGCAAGAAATGGATCCTGTCTGAATGTAGTGATTCTGTGAGAGCAAGAAACGAATCCTGTCTGAATGTAGTGATTCTGTGAGAGCAAGAAATGAATCCTGTCTGAATGCAGTGATTCTGTGAGAGCAAGAAAAGGATCCTGTCTGAATGTAGTGATTCTGTAAGAGCAAGAAATGGATTCTGTCTGAATGCAGTGATTATGTTTGAGCAAGAAAAGGATTCTGTCTGAATGCAGTGATTCTGTGACAGCAAGAAATGGATCCTGTCTGAATGTAGTGATTCTGTGAGAGCAAGAAATGGATCCTGTCTGAATGTAGTGATTCTGTGAGAGCAACAAATGGATCCTGTCTGAATGTAGTGATTCTGTGAGAGCAAGAAATGGATCCTGTCTGAATGCAGTGATTCTGTGAGAGCAAGAAATTGATCCTGTCTGAATGCAGTGATTCTGTGAGAGCAAGAAATGGATCCTGTCTGAATGCAGTGATTCTGTGAGAGCAAGAAATGGATCCAGTCTGAATGTAGTGATTCTGTGACAGCAAGAAATGGATCCTGTCTGAATGCAGTGATTCTGTGAGAGCAAGAAATGGATCCTGTCTGAATGTAGTGATTCTGTGAGAGCAACAAATGGATCCTGTCTGAATGTAGTGATTCTGTGACAGCAAGAAATGGATCCTGTCTGAATGCAGTGATTCTGTGAGAGCAAGAAAAGGATCCTGTCTAAATGTAGTGATTCTGTGAGAGCAACAAATGGATCCTGTCTAAATGTAGTGATTCTGTGAGAGCAACAAATGGATCCTGTTTAAATGTAGTGATTCTGTGAGAGCAAGAAAAGGATCCTGTCTAAATGTAGTGATTCTGTGAGAGCAACAAATGGATCCTGTCTAAATGTAGTGATTCTGTGAGAGCAACAAACGGATCCTGTTTAAATGTAGTGATTCTGTTAGAGCAAGAAATGGATCCTGTCTGAATGTAGTGATTCTGTAAGAGCAAGAAATGGATCCTGTCTAAATGTAGTGATTCTGTAAGAGCAAGAAATGGATCCTGTCTAAATGTAGTGATTCTGTAAGAGCAAGAAATGGATCCTGACTAAATGTAGTGATTCTGTAAGAGCAAGAAATGGATCCTGTCTAAATGTAGTGATTCTGTAAGAGCAAGAAATGGATCCTGTCTAAATGTAGTGATTCTGTAAGAGCAAGAAATGGATCTTGTCTAAATGTAGTGATTCTGTAAGAGCAAGAAATGGATCCTGTCTGAATGTAGTGATTCTGTAAGAGCAAGAAATGGATCCTGTCTAAATGTAGTGATTCTGTAAGAGCAAGAAATGGATCCTGTCTGAATGTAGTGATTCTGTAAGAGCATGAAATAAATTGTGTCTGACTGTAGTGATTCTGTGAGAGCAAGAAAAGGATCCTGTCTAAATGTAGTGATTCTGTGAGAGCAACAAATGGATCCTGTCTAAATGTAGTGATTCTGTAAGAGCAACAAATGGATCCTGTCTAAATGTAGTGATTCTGTGAAAACAACAAATGAATTCTGTCTAAATGTAGTGATTCTGTAAGAGCTAGAAACACTCACAAAGTAAGGACTGAGAGTCTTGTGGCCGACTGCCTTGATGTGCTTGGCAAACAGCTGCTGCACCTTCCTGTAGGGGATGTTCTGGAGAGCTGCTCTGTAAGGAAATGTTGGAGCTAGAGGCCATCAAGCCTGTCCAATGTTGACTGTTGGATGGCATTGTTTGACTATACACAACAGCCACAGACAACTTTGTAAACATACAACAAATTACACATTCAATGAAAATAAACAAGTTTCTTCAGAATGGTACTGTCTGATGTCACTGTTTGTTGAGTTGACTACTAGCCAGTATCTAAGTGCCAGACAGAGATTGGTGACTGCTGAGACATGCTGTCACCGAGAGCCTGGACATCTCTCTACAGTCTTTCTCCAAAAAATGGGCATCACCATGTCCAGAAACTGTCACAGAGAGCCTGGACATCTCTCTACAGTCTTTCTCCAATAAATGGGCATCAACATGTCCAGAAACTGTCACAGAGAGCCTGGACATCTCTCTAGTCTTTCTCCAAAAAATGGGCATCACCATATCCAGAAACTGTCACAGAGAGCCTGGACATCTCTCTACAGTCTTTCTCCAATAAATGGACATCACCATGTCCAGAAACTGTCACAGAGAGCCTGGACATCTCTCTACAGTCTTTCTCCAATAAATGGGAGCATCAACATGTTCAGAAACTGTCACAGAGATCAGTGATGCCATTCCTAGGCTTCAACATCAGTTGCTGTCAGTTGCAGGCTGAATTCTACATGCTGAAACATGAAGAGGATGCCAAAACACTCATAATATTAAAAAATGCAGCCAAGACACATACACACAAACCAATAAAGTGCACAAGCTTAAATTATCAAACAAAACAATTGGGAAAGTCAAACTCTTCACAGCTAAACCAACAATGTACACCTGAAGAGTTATTCTCTCATCTCTAGACTCAATGGCACTCAATGTTTTAACCTTCATCACAAACAAAGATGCTGAGCCCGATCTAGCAAAGAAAGCAATCACAATGGAACACCTCAACAACATGTTCCCACAGGACAGCTGGATGAGAAATGAATATAACTGCTGTGTGAAAGATGGAAGTTTGGAAGGGCCGAATGTAAGACAGGCCTGCGTGCCTAATTTGTAACCCTTTGAAAATAAAGTTCGTTCGTTCGTTCGTTCGTTCGTTCGTTCTACACAGATGGATGAGAATCTACACAGATGGACGAGAATCTACACAGATGGATCATCAAAAAAAGGCAACGATAAATGGTGAAAATGAAACACCCAGATGCCACTGTTGTGTCCCTGGCAGCCCCTCCCGGACAATCTTGCTCCAACTACTTGGCCAAGTTCTCAGCTCTACTGATGGCAGCACAGTATATGCACAAACCCTGCAGGCAAGATAGTTTTTGTCACGGATTCACTGTCAGCCATACACGCTCTCTAGGCCCAAGTTACTGACAACACACTACAGTCTAACAAAAGAGCTTGACAAATTGTCAAAAAAGGCAGAAACTCATTTGCAGTAGATTCCATCTCATTATGGAATCAAAGGCAATTAATAGTGATGTGTTAGCCAATGAAGGCAGCAGCTAGCCACAAACCTACCAGCCATGATCTTTTTCAGAAGTCAAAACTCTCATTAAGAGAAAATCAGAAACAGACTGGAAAACAAACACAGGTTATTAGCATGAAAAAAGTTTTCCTAAATCATGTGAATAGAACAGTCACAGTTAGCTTTACCTAAGCTTTGGACACTGCAGACACCACAAACACTTGTATAAATGATGAATGAGCCAAATAACTCTCTGCCATTGTCTTTATACCAAACAGATTGCAGAACATGTCACACTAGACTATCCTGTCCTGGAGAAGCTGTGAATCAACATATGGCCCCACCCAGTAGAACTGACAACTTAGCTTAGGGGAACCTAAGAGACCTAGACATCCCAGTTTGTGGCCCACGGGGCATTATTTATTAAGCGCATGAATAAAGATCACTGAAGAAGAAACTGCAGGCTGGTAACCATACCAGATCAAGGCCCCTGACAATATTCCAAAACCATAAACACATGGACAACTGATGGACACTTGGAGAAACATAGTGGATAACAGAAACAAGCTTAATTAAACAATATTGTCATACAGCAAGCATAAATAGCCTAGTTAAGTATTCATCACTTGTGGGACAGAAACTTAACATTAGACAGTAACACTTTGCCTGCTAGGACCACAATAGTGTTCCTGTTAACAAAATATTAGTGTTGGCCAGATTTTGTTGGGCTTAAATGACTCGGAGCCATGGAAGCATAGCAGCTAGAGGCCTTCCAGACAAACCAAAGGTCTAAGGTTCAAATCCACATTGAGGTGGATTGTTTCAAAATGTACTTTGGTTTCCATGTGGAAAATGAGAACAGACAATATCCTGGGGAAACAGGGCAGCCAGCCAGCAGCATGATGATGATGATGACGAGGACCATGTCACCCATTAGGTGCTGATTGGTCTATAACAACACAGGTCTGGAACTTTACATCTGCGAGGTCAAAGGTTAGATAAGGGGCCTTGACACTGTTACTTGACCAATACAATGAGCACAGTCTGTTCAAGGATACATCGCTTGTGCACAAGAACTCCACACTGACTGTCCAGCACCATGGCCTCTGACACTTGACCCAATGTGTGAGGACTGATAGATGTCACTGCTTCTGGCCGAGTCCAGGAGACATCTCTTCTCTCTACGGCAGAGTCTTGAAGTGAAACTATCCCTGCCATGTTCAACCAAGCGTTGAAGCACTAGGATGAGGGCCAAGTACCCCCTTCACTTGACTGTGTGCTGGAATAAATCAACAAAAACTGGCTGTACGCATTTTCTGATAACATGTTACATGATAATAACTGGGATTAATCTGACAAACAACAGGACTCATGTCAGGTGCCACAAAAAAGTAACAAGGCACTAATAGATTAGGATTTGATGGCTTCACGTCCTGCTCTAACTGCAGCAGAATTTTGCAGCTGCAGGCAATATTCAACCTTTCAAGGAATGGGATTTTTAGAAAAGATACTGTGGACAGACAGCTAAACAAAAACTACAGGGAAGGATTCTCTATACAACTACAAGGAAGGATTCTCTACACAACTACAGGGAAGGATTCTCTATTAAACTACAGGGAAGGATTCTCTATACAACTACAGGGAAGGATTCTCTATACAACTACAGGGAAGGATTCTCTACACAACTACAGGGAAGGATTCTCTACACAACTACAGGGAAGGATTCTCTATACAACTACAGGGAAGGATTCTCTATACAACTACAGGGAAGGATTCTCTACACAACTACAGGGAAGGATTCTCTATACAACTACAGGGAAGGATTCTCTATACAACTACAGGGAAGGATTCTCTATACAACTACAGGGAAGGATTCTCTATACAACTACAGGGAAGGATTCTCTAGACAACTACAGGGAAGGATTCTCTAGACAACTACAGGGAAGGATTCTCTACACAACTACAGGGAAGGATTCTCTACACAACTACAGGGAAGGATTCTCTATACAACTACAGGGAAGGATTCTCTATACAACTACAGGGAAGGATTCTCTATACAACTACAGGGAAGGATTCTCTATACAACTACAGGGAAGGATTCTCTATACAACTACAGGGAAGGATTCTCTATACAACTACAGGGAAGGATTCTCTATACAACTACAGGGAAGGATTCTCTACACAACTACAGGGAAGGATTCTCTATACAACTACAGGGAAGGATTCTCTATACAACTACAGGGAAGGATTCTCTAGACAACTACAGGGAAGGATTCTCTATACAACTACAGGGAAGGATTCTCTATACAACTACAGGGAAGGATTTTCTATACAACTACAGGGAAGGATTCTCTACACAACTACAGGGAAGGATTCACACAACTACAGGGAAGGATTCTCTACACAACTACAGGGAAGGATTCTCTATACAACTACAGGGAAGGATTCTCTATACAACTACAGGGAAGGATTCTCTATACAACTACAGGGAAGGATTCTCTACACAACTACAGGGAAGGATTCTCTATACAACTACAGGGAAGGATTCTCTATACAACTAAAGGGAAGGATTCTCTATACAACTACAGGGAAGGATTCTCTATACAACTACAGGGAAGGATTCTCTACACAACTACAGGGAAGGATTCTCTATACAACTACAGGGAAGGATTCTCTATACAACTACAGGGAAGGATTCTCTATACAACTACAGGGAAGGATTCTCTATTAAACTACAGGGAAGGATTCTCTATACAACTACAGGGAAGGATTCTCTACACAACTACAGGGAAGGATTCTCTAGACAACTACAGGGAAGGATTCTCTACACAACTACAGGGAAGGATTCTCTATACAACTACAGGGAAGGATTCTCTATACAACTACAGGGAAGGATTCTCTATACAACTACAGGGAAGGATTCTCTATACAACTACAGGGAAGGATTCTCTATACAACTACAGGGAAGGATTCTCTATACAACTACAGGGAAGGATTCTCTATACAAACTACAGGGAAGGATTCTCTATACAACTACAGGGAAGGATTCTCTATACAACTACAGGGAAGGATTCTCTATACAACTACAGGGAAGGATTCTCTATACAACTACAGGGAAGGATTCTCTATACAACTACAGGGAAGGATTCTCTATACAACTACAGGGAAGGATTCTCTATACCAACTACAGGGAAGGATTCTCTATACAACTACAGGGAAGGATTCTCTAACAACTACAGGGAAGGATTCTCTATACAACTACAAGGAAGGATTCTCTACACAACTACAGGGAAGGATTCTCTATACAACTACAGGGAAGGATTCTCTATACAACTACAGGGAAGAATTCTTTATACAACTACAGGGAAGGATTCTCTATACAACTACAAGTTAAGGATTCTCTATTAAACTACAGGGAAGGATTCTCTATACAACTACAGGGAAGGATTCTCTATACAACTACAGGGAAGGATTCTCTATACAACTACAGGGAAGGATTCTCTATACAACTACAAGGAAGGATTCTCTACACAACTACAGGGAAGGATTCTCTATACAACTACAGGGAAGGATTCTCTATACAACTACAGGGAAGGATTCTCTATTAAACTACAGGGAAGGATTCTCTACACAACTACAGGGAAGGATTCTCTATACAACTACAGGAAAGGATTCTCTATACAACTACAGGGAAGGATTCTCTATACAACTACAGGGAAGGATTCACGTACTGGGGGACGAGGTGATTGTAAAGCCCGTTCAGCCAGAGGGTCCAGGCAATAGGTGGCCACACAGCGGGAAGTCAACTGTCTATGTATTACCTGTACTTCCAATAAAGATTGTCGTGTGTGCTCCGTGTGCGTTCGGGTTCAGTGTGTGTTAAAGGTTAGTCTGTCTGTCATAGGCCTAGTTACGAGCCATGGACCGGCAAGGTCATACCAGAGGTCTGTGACAAAGATACTTATTGTTTTGGGAGTCAGTTTTCTTTTCCAAATGATGGGGCTCTGTTATGATGCTTCAAAAGATTCTTTGGAACAAAATCTAATGAATAGATTCAGTTATATGTTACTTATTCATTACTAAGTGGTTCATGTTCATTTGTGATTCATTTTAGATATATTTTAACCAGTTTTTATTGAGTGCCATCGAGGTAAGTGTAATTTTTAATATTTCATTTTACTAATTTTTTTAAACATACTGTCTGTTTATGCACTAATATTTAATTACTAACTCAATTATTTGCTGTAGCTATATTATATAATTATTCTTCATCAATCCCTGGTCACTTTGATGTATAATATGTGTATGTTGTGCGGCAATTGAATTAGTATGGTCTGTTTTAATGTTACACTTGTGAAATTAAAAAATTGCATTACCACTCCTTGGGCCTCTGATGCTAAACCCTCAAGGACTCAAAGAGTTAATGCTGGTCACACCCTTAACAATGTGGTCCTGAAATAGTTAAACGTAACGGTCGGTAAAGATGGCGGCTGCAAAATATCCTTTCGAGCCACAGTCGTGTGTCAATTGCCCACTGGCGGTCACGAGCACACTGCGGCTGCTGCTCGTGGGTCCTAGCCATCTAGTTTAGCCCCATTCCACGCCATGGGGGACACGCCGGCGGTGGCGATAGTCGCCGGAAAACCGCAAATTAAGTCACGCGACTGTGGCTCCAAAGGATATTTTGTGGCCGCCATCTTTACCGACTGTTATTCGAAAGAAAGCCTATATATATATATATATATATATATATATATATATATATATATATATATATATATATATATATATATATATATATATATATATATATATATAAAATATATATTGGCTATCTTTCAAATAACGGTCCTATGTGAACTACGCAAAAAGGTTAACCCAAACAGAGCCTCATTACGTCCTACACTACAAACATTTGAAAACTTAAAACTCGGGAAATATAAGGAACGAAAAGTATCAGAAAAACGGGGCAATTCTACTACTTACCGATATTGACATCCTCTATACATGAAAATTGTGGCACAGACGTTGCAAATAGCGCACGAATATCTTTTCTTTCTGGCTGTCTGCGATGTCAACAGGGCGCGACTTGTCCGCAAGTCTTGTTCCGGGCGGGACATAATCAATACTGCGCGTTGTAATGTACGCGCATATGGCCTCGGGCCAACTTCAAACCAGCAGTCACCTCGAGCCAACGTCAAACCAGCAGTCGCCTCAGGACAACTTCAAACCACCAGCCGCTATGGCGCTACACTATTCCGACCACCCCTTGACCGTCGCGACTGCGACCACGGTGGCAGTTCCGATGGAAAAAGTACGTATTGAGTGTTGTCCTGCTACTATAGTGCCACCTCCGAGAGTATCCCCTGCTACGCTACGCGCGGCGCGGGGGATACTCTCGGAGGTGGCACTATAGTCGGCGAAAAGCGATCGGCAACTTACATATAGCTCGGGCCCTGCCTTAGGATAGCACTATCGGGACTATTGTCGGTAATTTTTTTCGTATGCAGTTAATCCTTGTTTTGCCGCCATCTAAACGCCGTAAAAAATCCGTTGCATTCCACGAAAATGTTGTGTGCAGTTAATGCTGATTTTGACATGGTTGAATCGCCGCAAAAGAAATGCGACTTTTACATATGCGTAAGGCTCTGTTTGGGTTAACTGTCTGTGTTGTGAGGCTCTGTTTGGGTTAACTGTCTGCGTAGTTCATATGGGACTGTTATTCGAAAGATAGCCTATATATATATATATATATATATATATATATATATATATATATGGAGAACGAACGAACGAACGAACGAACGAACTTTATTTTCAAAGGGTCACAAATTGGGCACGCAGGCCCGTCTTACATTCGGCCCTTCCAGTCAACCATCTTTCGCACAGCAGTTGTATTTTACTAATAAAGCATGTTATGATCATATGATGTTATGCATATTATGAATATTATAAAAGAACACAAAAGCATGAGTTGTAAAGTGCATGCAAAACCCCGCACGTGCATACATACACCCGCTCACCCACTCACTTACACACACAAACATGCATGCATACATTCCATACATACATACACAGATACATATAAACAAACATGCATACACACATACACACGTACACACAAACATACATAGATACAAACATACAGGCATACATACATACATACATTAATACATACATACGTTGTACAGGCATACACACATACAGTCATAAATCCAGTCATGCATGGAGACACACAC